TATAAGTGAAATAAGTGGAACAATTCAGTAGACGTCAGTGAGATATTTTTTTACGAAAATTAGGATCTATACGAATGTGAATCAGCAACGTGTTAAAGAATAAAAGTTTTTGATTAGGTTAACTCTTACAACTCATTCGTCGCTCATTATATGTGTTAGGTTTGGTGTTGTAGAACTTTTATACCTCTACCATCGAAGTTTGTTTCGTCAAGGTAAAAACCCAGTAGGCTCAAAAAGAAGTTACAAATCTCCGTAACATTATTATATGTTTTATTGACTTTCAAAATAATCGCAGACGGTTCATGACTACCCGAAGAAACTCACTACGCAGATCTGTTTTGACACGTCGAGAAAAATATTAACTTGTTTGGTGTTAGCACCATAACATGTACGAAAAAATCAAATTTTCCGGCTAAGGGTGATCGTAGTCGTTAAACGGAGCCGTCTCTCTTACATCATAGATAAAGTAAGGACATTTCGCTATCGCTTCGAAACTAGCCGAAATGGGAGCCTTCTTCCATTGAGTTTGAAAGTTCGTTCATAAAACTCGACTTTAAGCTTAATGGATGTATATAGAAAACCAGGCATTCTATATGGCAAAAGGTATATACAAGTTACACAAGTAAATAAGGGTAGAATAAGCGTAGAATACGAAAAACACAACTATAAAAAGTCACAATATCCCATGGAAAGAATAAGTAATGGGAGGATGTGAGTTTCAAATAAAATAACGAAATATTACCAATCCCATGAAGTCTAGGACATTGACAAGACACAATCAAGAGCTCAAATTTGAGGTACTCAGTGTAAAATTGTATTACGTTATTAAACACAACATAAAGTATTTAACCCTACAGTAAACGCATTGGTTATTCACCACAGAATGTGGAGATGGCACGACATTCATATGCCCGATAAGTAACCGTTTTATCGAATATCATTAACCTAAAACTTTTTTGGATACATCTGTTTTACTGAAGTTTTGAACATCAATTTTTCATAACTTTGACCTCTCACATTTCGGTTTCACTGGGTTTTTGATTTCGTACTTCGAAAGGTTTCCTCCTAAAACCTATAAACTAAAAATTTGTGTTAATGACTTGTAATTTACGAATAAGCTTTAGTACATGAATTGGGACTTGGTTCTCTTTCTAATTGCGTAGCAGGTTACGAGTGGATCAGTTGACCGTGCTTCAATAATGAAAAAGAGTAAAATTTAGATGTAGTCATCCTAAATTATAAAAATCAGCCAAAAGTTAGTATTAACTACTTTTGGCATGCAATAACATGGAATTCGTCTCAGGTGGACACGAAATTTTCCGTTTGTAGAACCTTATTTTCTGGTTTCAGATTATGTTCAATTCCAGTCAAATATACAATCCACACGTACTTTCATTCAGCCAAATAGCTCATGGAAATTTTAGGCCGGAGAAAAGACAATCCACTCATGTGGTGAGTTTAAAATTAGCAACAACATACTGTGGTGTTTGAATTGACTAACGATACCTTGGTACTTGTTGAATGCTTGATTTCGAATTCCAAATACAATACATTCGTTTGTGCTTGTGTCTTACTTCTTGATTCAATTGCGTTAATTCTGGATTCCTAGTTTATTCGATAATTCAAATACGTGTGAATATTATGCATACTAATTGCATATGGTTGCAAAAATGTATAGTAGTGATTAGAGTCTAAACGGCGATTATTGCCAATTTAGTACGAGAACGACTTCTGATCGTTACCAGTTACCAGCTATCCACTTTCAAATAGCTACGTTGAAATCTGTGACTACCTTTTCGAAAACACGCTTAGTTAGAGCGCATAACTAAATTCCTATGGCCTTAGATCATGTCCTGAAGACTGTCATCACCATTCTTTGATGCCGTGAGAGTTTTAGAGGATGGATCTCGGTTAAAAAACTTCCTGAAACTCTCCAACTATTGATCATCAGCTTGCTCAGAAGGTCTAACTTTGTGCATACACATAATCATGACGATTCGATCACAATTCCAGCATATTGACCTTGTTTTCCGATGACTGGATAAACGACACGACTGTAAACATTCAGAAATACCCAATCGGAGCCAACCACCTCGACTTTCCCGGACATACCATTGACGTTCAAAGTATTTGCCCTCGAAAAAAATAGCCCTGGATAAAATGGACTACTCAGAATCGACCATAGTCATGCAATCGCCTACACTCAACGGACAGGTTGGCATTATCTTCAGTTCATACTGAATGGTGTGTCTCTTATGAAACTAAAAATATCACGAATGTACAGTGCTTGATAGCACTTCTGTCCGTAACGCCTTCATAATTGGAGGATCCGAAACATAGTCAAATCAGAAACTAGGAAACAAGGATTTCGAAGATATATTTAGAACATAGTCGGAAAGTAGAAAATTTCATGGACCGGGCCGAGAGTTTTTTGCAATGGGTGCATGGCACGGTGTACTCAATGATGATTTGATGCAGGCGCGTGTTTGGGTGTCTTCATCTAGTATGTGTCATGTAAAACTAATAAGGTCACCATCAATGTCGGGGATGTACAGAACTATTTATTTCAGAGAATTATTCACTGTTACGAAACCGTTAACAGAGTAAATTTGAGGAAATGAGAAAACCATCACACTAGGCAACGACGCAAAGAAGACATTTACGACAGTAAAGGACAGTTTCATTAAATCACCAGTGCTTATACGACACGACACAAAAGTACTCATCAGTGCCAACATAGACGAAGTCAATTGAGCAGTCAGAGGTATCTTCTAACAATGGGTAGAATAGATGTAGCGATTCACGACATTCTCCCCAATGCGTTAGTAAGACAATGAAAGGGGACTAAGGGCTATGCCTTGGGCTGTACCACACTTTCAATATTCAGTGGAAGGCCAAGAATTCATTCTGTTTACTGACCTTGATCCTCCTGAATTTTCCCTCAACCTGTTTTTTATTAAGTGTTCTGCCCAATAGTCCAGATAACTGGACCGGACGTCGTAGTTTACTTCAGATACACAATACATTTCTATGGCAAGCAGTCTAGTGGAAGGCGCCTTATTTTGTATAACTTCATTTACCATTTTCCAAAGGATCAACATTCTTAAATTCGACCAGCCTTGAAATGAGGACACAGATATTCAGCATGAGTTTTCATCGACAAGCCTGAAACAATGAAACAAGCAGACTGAAATGGGTGAGATAGCTTCATTATGTGACAGGTCTACGGGCAGAGGTCGACCAATCATACCGGAACATTATCTGCGTAATGTTTTTAATTGAGTGTACAAAGTTTCTCATCTGGGTATTTGAGCAACCACCAAGCTGATTGCGAAATGACTTTACTGGCCTGGCACGAACACAAAATAGAGAGAGTAGGCAAGCTCACGCTGCCAGAAACCCTAGATGATTAGATAATATATTGTCTCGTGGTTTACATATACAAGCTGGCTGACATTTTATATAATAAACATTATCAGTAACCGAAGTTTATATTACTGACACTAAAGCATACGTCCCATTTGTTTTACGGACGTCTTCTGTTGATAATTGATAATTAATTGCAGTCCTTTTGTTATTGTTATCACTATGAGGTTTATTTCTCATCTCCGAGACAAATTGGATCGGGCTATCCAGTTTCTTTAAGTAGAAAAAGGCCTTTTGAGTGATTGTAACATTCGTGTTAGGCGAGAATTTTGCGACCAACGGGTAATGTCGAAGAAACACCTCGCGACCAACACCTAATGAGTATTGCCCCTCCGTCATATCAAGGTACCATAAATGCTTTGAATATAGTACAACACAAAGGACGTTATTACAGAAATATATTAATTAAAGTAGGTACAAGCGAAAATGCGACCACCACCAGATGGGCCAGTCCATGACATACGATTAACTGATATGCGTTGGTTGTCCTTGACTTTGATAGGGAATGATAATCTGTTTGATATTCAGTGACCCAACTGCCAAATGGTTTGGCCAGGTCTCAGTTTCATTTCACTGGCCCTACAAGTTTCTCTTCTGCTTCTTCTTGTACGTCTGTCATGTAATCATAAGGCAGTTATTGGCTGTCGTATTGTTTCCGATTTATGTGAGCTTGAGAGAGAGAGTGATTGGCAGAAGATCAATTATACAGACAAGTAAACTCCAGACCTTGGATTTACCACATGGCCAGAAGTTGTGTAAAGTACTGTGGTTCATATCTCAAAAAGTACTGTATGCCTGTTGTAACTGACTTTTTTTAAGAAGGCCGAATTTTTCTTCAAAACTCCATAGAAATCTGACTTCACAATTATTAAACTGAGGAAAGCGTACAGTTGGAGAAGTTAATAATGGCTCTCATTTTGATGCAGATGAAGTTGCTAACGGTTTGGTTGGTATGTGATGCAAAAATTTATACAGGGATACCAAACACCTTTGCTCCATTATAAAATTTAATCAAGACATTAGAACCTATCAAAAATTCTATGTTAGCTACATTGTTAGATGAGTAGACATATTACCACTGCAATTTGGAAACCTCAAACATTCTACAATAAAACAGATTACATTGAAAGCGTTAAAAGGTAGAATTTTTTCGTTATAACATGAAGTGCTTTTAGTTCACAAAAGTGACATGCCATCATGAGAAAAATCCTCAACCATATCCAGATGTGGCAGCGAATTGAATAAACACAACTAACAATTTCAGAAACTAGACTTATCTGTTTCTAATTCTCTAGTTCATAGTAGTGCTATTGAGTACATACCAATTAATACGGAAACTGTGCCACGTAAATAGTAGAACAGGCATACAAAGAACCTACGAAACAGACGTGTAGTATACACTGGTATTTACAATATTCTTGTCATATTCCACCGTGTTTGAACCCAGTTTAGGTTTTCTAATACTTTGTGAAACCATGTCATCCAACCATTTGTTCGTACAACTCATTGGTAATGTTGTCATAGTTCGTTAATTTTGGCAAAGTTTTGAAACCTTTAGCAGATCAAGAAAAAAGATGGCTGCTTGTGTAAATGCATACAGTACTGTGAGAAGTGACGATGAGAAAATAGTTGATTCTGATTCTAAAAATGGAGATATACATACAAAGACATCTCTTTTTCATGGACCTGGATGGTACGTACCATCTGAACGGCACTGGGTAAACTACGACAATTACTCCGCACTTCCAAGAATGACGAACAGAGATGCTATAGATTTCCAGTCAGAAAAAGAATTCGTCAACTTCCTGAAAAAGCGTGACATACCAAATTGTTAGTATAATTCGCTTTGTCAAGCAATACATATTAATGTATGTTTACTAATAATTAGATAAGAAGATCACTGCTTACTTTCCCTCTCATCCTCCTTCTATCAAGTCGCAAAGGTTTTGCCAGATACCCTCCTTTCAAGCAAGATTTGGGAGCCTTAATGAAACTAACCCAAGTACTATTCGGAGAGGTGCAAATTATTATGAATACTACCAAGAGGTAATCACTTTCTAAAAGTTTATAGGCCATGTGGTTGTAGCAAATTTTCATCATTTAGCCTAATTCTATAGAATAATGATCTGAAGCTTACAAGAGATTTTGCAGTTTGAAAAAGTTTGTGAGTAATAGGAGGTGGCTAAATTTGATGTAGCTGTGGAACATCCAGCTCATTGTTCAGTGCCACATTTCTTTTCTTTTTTTTAAACTACAATTTTGACTCTGTCATTCACTTTTTATAGTTCTTTCGGACTTATATTACGTTGATGGTCAGATTTTCGAATACATTACCTCGCTAAATTGTTGATGTTGAAAGCCACCATTCAGTCAGAATAACAGAGAACTACATATACAGTGGGGCCACAATATGATAAGTAAAGTAGTTGAATTGGTGCACCAATTGACGACTGTCAGAATAATTCAATTTAAGTCAGATAAAACTAGATTAGCACAACTGTATGTGTTATACTTGAAATTTTTAATAAGATTTCAATCAAATACAAAGGAATCATCAGTAAGTACAAATACATATATTCAACAAAAACGGAAGCATCAAAATTTTTTTTTCGATTTTATAATCTTTTTATAAACAAGCTATACAGAAATTAATTCCTACAAAACATTTGATCTCCACTCGTTGGTTGTCTTGATTAGTAATAATAGATTTCATTAACAGTTTTACTCAGACAAAATGCAACCACTATGATTAAAATCCTTTGAATTCGATACTCATTAGTGAATAAATTTCAGTAAAATGTTGCGATGAGACATTTCAACTCCCTGATAACTAAACTGAGCATTACTTGAGTGCTTCTGAAAACTTCCGATGGTAAAGTTGATGTGCGATGAATAGTAAGAAAACTGAAGATTTGAAACGTTAAAACTAAAAGTGATATTTTCTCTTACTTTGCACGTTTTGTGAGTTTCAGTGCTCGTGTGTTGTAATTCAATCAACAATATGTGACCAGATATGACGTTAATAGCACAATATTTAGTTTCTAGTACTATGTCAAGCCCGCATTGGTTATTCTAGATTCCGGACAGGTTAATTAATTTATCCTTTTCGAATCACATTTTGACCTTTTCAATCATTCGCTTATGAAAGTGCCTGCTTTTATGTGAGCGTATATGTATTTATCGCTTACTCTATTCATCAGATATCGTTAACTTGTTTTTGTCAGGCTATAAATATTGAGTCAATATTCATTGAAATGTATATGAATGTTTGACTTCTTCGATCCACCTCTCAGCTTTATTTCGACTGCTTTCTGTCAGGAACAACAAGCGCTACAAATATGACTATCAAAAACTCATTTCCACACTTGTTTAATTTTATTTCGTTAAGTTGGTAATTATATACAAGGACGGGAAATATGTATATTTCGTTGATATCATCCAACCGGACTCAGACCAGTAGACAACAAAAAATACAATAAGGTTATATCATTCTCGTTTATCATAGAACTCAAATATATTTGTTGCAACAGCTCCATCTTTTTAAGTAACATTATACGTTCTCGCCATTTCGATACAATTTTGACCTTTTTTCAGTAATCCTATATTTTTCTGTATGTGCAAAAGTGTGAATGCTTCGTACATAGTAATGTTAAGGGGCTGTAAAATTCAAAATGTTTGAATGCACCCAGAAGTTACGTCAAAATAATTTTAGTATTTTTGAGGTCATTATACCCTGGAAATATGTACGTCGACAATTTAGAGTTTAAGGGGTTGTCTACATAAATATGGTGTTAACATAAGTATGGTGTTATTACTTTTGATTCTTTTTGAGTTATTTTGTCACTATAACCGTTGCTACGTGGCTAAAATATGTAATTTGGATATTCTCTAAGACGTCTACTTGTCTTACAATAATCACCAGTAAGTTGAATTATTGTATAACTCATCAAGTAGAAGTACCATTTCGCTTCAACTCTCCTACGCAAGCTTTATGAAATATCAACAAGCCTAGAGAACATTTAAAATGCATGTGCCGATGTCTAGAGTCATGAGAGCAAACTCGTTTATTAGTGATCTCTTAATCTGTTTCGAGCACGTTTGTAGAGTTAAAACCACTGGTATCTTCCAAATACGTTTAAGACGAAAACCCTGTACTTTTGTACGTCAGTATATGTAAACAGCATAAAATTTTTGAAATTACATCTAATTTTCAGTACCGAATTTTCCACGAGTGCATAATGCAAGTATACAAAAGCGTCAGTTTACCGAGAATTCAAAAAACATTCCCATTGAGATATTGATAAGTTAAGTTGAGCGATCAAATATTTCTTTTCAAATAAATCTTCATCTTTGCTCTACACTATATATATGCTTTATACGTCATTAGGTCGACGCCACCAAATTCACTACTATGGTTCCGGAATTCGACTCTTACATACAACAGAAGCCATAAAAATACATATTAAAAAACCTAACTTTTGTATGAGGAAGTCTATACAGCCTCTGAATCTTCCCTGGCCATCCATTTGAACGTTATCATGTGTTTAAAAACATTTCTTTCTCCCCCCACTAAAGTTCTCGAATCTCCATTTTGTTAAAATGTTAGTTTCTAATTATAATCTTACATATCCTGTTTGTTAATCATAGCATCTAATTTTCACTGCTAATACTAAATCCCGTCCTACTTATCATTAATTTCACAGATAACAAAAGACATTTATATATGTATCAGAAAGGGTTTTTGTGGAGATTGTAGTAATTTCAACAGTTGAGATCATGAATCATGTTGGAATTACTACAATCTCCACAAAATCCCTTTCTGATACTAATCAACATATGCTCACTAGTGACTGGTTTCAAGAGGTATATCCTGGAGTTCTAGTGAGAAGCAGTGACCACAGGAGTTCAACCGGGTCAGTTGTGAGATAATAACTCACCGATGACAGTGGTGGGTGTGTCGCTCAATTTCGTAGATTAGTTGAAGATATACGTTAACACCGTCGGACGCCGGCCCAGTGGTCTATTTGGTTAAGCGCCTGACTCGAGACTGACAGGTCCTGGGTTCGGACCCCGTGAGGCGGGGTTGTGGATGCACACTGCTGAGGAGTTACACAGTAGAGCGAAACGGCCGTCCAGTGCTTCCAGGTTTTCCATGGTGGTCTAGCTTCAATTGATTCATGATCTCAACTGTTGACATATATATTTGCATTCAATTTTAACTCCTACTGCTACTCCTATGTAACCATATGTAGTAATTAAGTGATTATTCACCTTAGTTTTAATTTTCCGAATGTTGTGTAACTAGCTGATGATGTGTTTTGTTAAATTGACTCATCATCATCTGATTGGTATCGACTTACTCAAGTACAAAGCACTTGCATTATATATATATATATATATATATATATATATATATATATATATATATATATAGAGAGAGAGAGAGAGAGAGAGAGAGGGAGAGAGAGACCCAAAGAAGATTCAGTTGAAAAGAAAATTTCTTATCTCAAGTCTTCCTAATTTATCAACAGTTATAAATTCGACGACAGAAGGTTTTCTCAATTAAGTCATCTATCTCAGTGGAAAAAATGCATTCATTTAAACTTCAAGTTCATCTCGAAAAATTTGTCAGATTCACTACTATTAAAGCAGCCTTAATGACCTTAGAAAAAATGATTTTTTTCACTTTTAGTTTACTCGTGTCATATATGACTTTTCAGCGCATCAAATGAAGTTTAAAAGAAAAAGTTGTTTCAAATTTAGCTTTTGATTGGTAGTTTAATCAGTGGCAATTAACGACAGTTAATAAGTTCTCAGTAATCATGTTAAACCTTTGAATAGTGAATATGTTTCTTGTCAATTTATAACCTCGATTGAGATAAATAACAATAATTGTGTTCCAAACATCTTGGGCATTTTGATTATGTTGTTATGCATTGAATAAAGACGTGCTGGGGAAAACTGATTTATTGTTTAATGCACAATCACACAATAATTTAGTAAAATGCGAAAATCATACATTAAATACGTCATTTGCACATCTTCGAATTATTTCTTATAGAATTCATTGTCCCTTCATTTCTTTTGTTATCTTGACTCTTTTCTGTTTCTTTTTCTTTTCTTTCCATTTCAATCTTTTCAACATTCCGATCGCAGACACTCCACTTTCAATCGGTGTCACACTAATTATACTTGCAAACATAAGTACCACATACCACAGTTACAGTCTAATTGTTTACTTTAAATAGACTGTATGAAATATATTTATTTTTTAAATACTATTTAATTACAGATACTTGATGAAATGAAGACATCTGATCGTAGAAAGTTGTTATCTCCAGACATTATTGGTAACTCTTATATAAAACGTAGAATGTTATGAATAATGTGCTAATCATTTGAATTATCTGGTTCAAAAGAACTACGTTATAGTTGTTACTTTCAAACAATGCATAGAATCAGATGACATCCGAATTTATTACTATTCAGTTGATTGTAAAGCCTTCAGTCTACACATAAATCAGTGAGAAAGCAAATGCAAGTTGACGGGGGCTTTATTTACATAGAAAACCTATTCTATCTATATACTTTTTATATAAATGCTTATATATTATATATACCTTTTAACTTGTAATCAGTGTGCAAAATATACTAAATGTCGTTTTGTTTTCATTAAAGATATACGACGATGTTCTTTCAAAAGATAAAATCTTATATTTCAAATGTTTTTATATGCATTGTATCATTATTTATCCTACTATATTGTTCATAAAATTGAGTTTTATTTAAATCAGTTCAAACAAATTCTTTCAGTCCCAGTATGTATAAACATATGATATTGGCTAAAGTAGTAGCGAATTAGCTGTAGTAGCTGGTCACAGAAAGTTGTTTATAGATTATATCGTGAAATGGCATTACTCCTTGAGTATTGAGGAAAATTCTGCGTAAGGTGAATTTTCTAAGAAATAATTCTCATCGATAACTGAACCTCCAAAATGATATATTACGAAGAACAATCTCATCCAATTCTAGTCTTTTAGTACATACCTGATATTTTATTCTACTGATCGAATTTATTTATAATCCTTATGTAAAGTTTGTCTGTTTGGTTTCAAACTGTCTTAGTGGAGTACTTACAATGAAAGTACTGAGGATGAATCCATATGAGGTTATAATTCAAAAAGGTAAAACGTAGTGTGTGATACTATATCTGTTTTTTGAGCATAAATTATAGAATTTGGTCGAGGAATAGAGAGAAAATAGTCACTCAAAAAGCACAATAACAAACAAATTATACAGTAATTGAATATGCTAAAAACGAATCAACTATGAACTGGAAACTTTCTTCGCGAAATTCTTCAGGTAGTACTTCATATATGAGGATTAAAAAAATGTAAATTTGATCATGGCGACTAGTAGCAGTGTACGTTAGTTTAGCTTCGTCCGTTGTAAGTTCATCTTTACAAAAAATTATCTCTCTTTTCTTATTAGTCAATATCTTAAACAAGGGTTTACGTAAATTACTTTGATTTTCATGTAATCGACTAATCAAGTAAGTATTGAGCTTTAAGCTATAGCTTATCTATCAAGACTGGTAAGGCAATACGGGTGTTGAAAGCCGAAATAGGGTAGAGTGCAAATATGCAACCGGAAAGTTTAAAGTGGAGTATGCACAACTGCTCGAAATCAAAGAATTGTGTATTAATTATTCTGTCATCATATTTCTGAACATGAATGTGTTGATTACAAAGTAGAAAATTGCCAAACTTCTCGAGTTACTTTCAACTTATGGGACTTTTACCTAAATATGTAGTTTGTATTTTTATTTACCAGTCTGCAGCAAACATTTTTCTCTAAACTGATTAAGACCTACGTCTGTTACCTTTCCTGGAGGAGCGTAGGTCGTCCAACATCAGTGTTCGTTGAACTCTGATAAAATGTTCCTAAGGAACGAAAAATATCTAAATACAACTTTAATGACGCTATGAACGACGGGAAATTAATCAATAGGAAATTCTCCGTAGCGACTTTAAGAAGGGCTTTACAGCTGATCAGTGTTCAATAATAAACGTAAGGATAAATAATTTCATTTGACCAATTTTATGTGTTTATCAATTTACTTAACTGAAAATGGCTCAATAAGAAGTTCAGTAATAAGACACCCTGTGAACACAGGTCATCCGATCAAAGCGGATTGTGAGTTCAAAATAATATACAATGTAGGAGACATCCAAGGGCAGTTATATTCCATTGTCTTAGCATTGCTGCAACACTAGTTACACATCTGGAAAAACCAGAATTGTGCCTAAGAGAACTAGCACAACCTCTTCTACTACCATCGTTTACGAGAGATCAACCCCATAATTTTTTCTTCTTTCAAACCCATCTGTTTTCTTTCTATCTTCTCTAAAGACCCTTTACCCCTCAACTAATTCGTTTCTGTTTGCATGCTCCTCTTGATTACAGTTCATTTCAATTTCAACATTTTATCTTATCTTACTGAACCTTCCGTCCACAATTATGATTCTTAACTATCTTAATAATGAATATTCAAGCTCTCAATAACAAAATTAATTTTAGTTTTTTTTTTCTGATGAAAAAATAACGTTTCTATGCCTTTGTTTATTCTATCTCATTGTTACCATGCTTAGCTGGATTCTGTGATCACTATTATTGTAATTATTATCATTTTAGAACAATAAATACTTATTCGCTATCATCCAGTTTTGAAAATGAATTCACCTAAAAGAGAACTCTTTGCTGAACCAATTCTTTTAGTGAATTGATTTAAATCAAAACTTTTAATTCAACTTTCGTCAATTGGATTATTTTTCCACCAGAAAATTTGATTTTCTGTCTAATAAATAATAGACGGAAATGTTAAGTTGTCAATGTAAAATACGAACTTCAAGAGAATATGAAAGTGATAAATTCTCATTTCATTTAAAAAAGAAAAGGATAAAAATTTTTTAAAAAAAAATCCACTTCCATCAATAGTTAATTTACATGGAGATAGTTGAAATTGAATTGAATTAACAGTAAAACAATTATGTACGATAATTTAAGAAAAATATGAAGTACATTGTTTTAATAATAAGTCTATTAAATACATCAGAATAGCATAATTGATATAACCATTTCTGTCTAATTTGACAGCTAGATCAGGTGAAAACTCTATAAAAGCAACACGAAAAAACACAACATTTTGAATGAGTAGTATATCATAAACGTATGTACTTAATATAATGCAATATTATAGTCGGATAATTAAAAGGCTGGGTATTCTTTTTCTCTGGCCTACCAATTTACTCAATTGTGGTCCTTTAATTTTTTATTTTAAACTGAATGAGTTAGGTTTGATTAAGTGTCAAAGTGTAAATGAAAACTGTTGAACAATCCCAACTAAACAAATACTTGGTCACCTTTCTCTAAACATTATTGGTGAGAGTAAATAACGTTATACTCCGATTTTTCACATCTTTCTGATTGAAGATTGGATCGGTAAAGTTTAGATTAACTATCTGGTATATGTGAATTTACTCTGATAATTTACACAGATAAAATATTGTATAACATAGGACAATATTACGTTGCTTCATATAGGCACGTATTGAATTAACATAGAAAAAATATAACGTTGCGAACCATGTCACATATAAGCTCCTTATAAAACGCCGTGGACTTGATATAGAGAACTTACACATTGTTATATAACTCAAAACTGTTTTCATCGATTACTTGATCTAATCATCCTGAACTTTAATTCGCCTCAATTCTTCCAGGACCATCAAATTGTGACCTAGTTTCAATAATAGTAATGTAATAAGCTTTGGGTCAAAGTACTCGAAATATCTAAAGAATTGTTATCCTAAGGTCATTCATTGACGGTCTATACCAATGAGGTATATGTAATTTTGAAGTTAATTTACAGAATAAACCTTAGAATAAGTTGAAATAAAATTTGAGGATAAGAAATCTATGATTGCGTTAAAAATCAATAGATACTTCATCTTAATTCGCCATATTTCCACAAACCATATAAATCGCAGTATAAAGAGATCTAAGATGAAATCGCCAAGACATAAATGTGTTATTAAATAATGAATAAAAACCTGCTTAAAGATTATCAATCAGATTACTGGTCCACAGAGCAAAATCAGTGGGGTCTTGAAGCCTAGTTTAAAAACCTTTGAGAATTTATTGAGATAAACTGACTCGTTAAGCTTTTACCTTTGAAGATGCCACAGGTATTCGGAGTTTGACAACGCTTTAACCAGTAACACCTAATACGAATCGTACCCATCAAGTGAAATCAAAAGACAGAAGCGAGGAGGTTCGAAGATATATCTGATAGGCCATCAATATATTGAGAATCGTCTGATCTAATCTGGCTAGCGATTGTAGGGGTTGTTGAACACGGCGTTCCCACTCGTGATCTGGGGCGGATGCATGACCGAGCACCTTCAGCTAGGTGAGTCCATTAAAACTAATGTGGTCAGCATCCAATGTCGAAACCTTACAGAGCTATTTATTTTGGGGACTTATTAACCGCTACACCTTTTATAGTATTCGATAAATCTAAATAAAAGTTAGAATGCATTTTATACCAAAAGTAATATAAGACTGACCATATTCTTAATCGATATATTGAATGAACGAATGTCAGGTGAACCTTGAAAAAGTCAACAAACCAGCTAACTCTTTTCATAGCCATTTATACTTATGTTATTTTTTTCTAATATCAGCTCAACAAGTTAACACTGAGCTAATTCCTAACGATATTTTCCATACTTGCTTCTTACATCGAATTAATTCCAATAATCAAAAAAATATATATAGTAATTTTACAATATAACAGTTGGTCAAATGTAAACTATGGTTGAGCAATTTGTAATCATAAAATAGATACCACGTAATTACTTTTAAGTATATTCAGTAATGAAGAATTACTCTCTTTATTATTAATCTCCAAAAATTTATCATTTATACAATCTGAACAATAAGATGTAAGTTTAAATAATTCCTCTTTTAGTGTAATTGGTTTTATACCGGCAGCAAATAACCGATGTTGGTAGCTATAACAAATTTGAAACAAAGAAAAAAGAAAAGATTAAAAATAATTACAGAATCAAACTTCACTGATTGAAATCATGAGTCCATTGAAGTTAGACCACCATGGAAAACCTGGAAGCACTGGACGGCTTTTTCGTCCTAGTATGGGACTCCTCAGCAGTGCGCATCCACGACCCCGCACCCCGCGAGATTCCAACCCAGGACCTATCAGTCTCGGGCCAGACGCTTAACCAACTAGACCACTGGACCGGTCGGCGTCCAATGGTGTTAATGTCTAATTTCAACCAATCCACGAAATTGCGCGGATTGACTCATGATTTCAATCAGTGAAATTTCTAAAATCTCCACAAAACCCCTTCTGATAAGAATCAAATTTATAAAATATTTACATTTTTCCTTTTTTGTCATATAATATAATTCTATTCATGATATTTAGCTTTGAATGATGAGTAAAGTATCTAGTGATATTTTGACTATAACAGTGATCAACGACTTGAAGTTTCCCTTAAAAAAACAAGAAGGAATAAAATGTGAGAATTTAAGAATAATCGGTTACCACCATTATATACCTGTAACAATTTTATTAAAGATTCAACATACTGGATAATTTGGATTAATATAGGCGAGATTATAATTTATGGACGAACCAATCAGGTATAAGATAACAGGTCTCGGATTTTGTCACGAAGTTCACTCATTATAGATTACGTCAATTCGTGATCAAAACCTTAAATCTAATTCGTAACCTTAACTATCAACTGTAAATCGTAATTCGAGTTCCTCACATAGGTTTATAACTCTCATTTGGTCCTAGTTATTAAGTGAACACTCTCAAGGTCAGTGTAGCGTCGCTCAAAGGTCGTCCATAAATTATAGTTTCATCCTAAGATGATATCCCATTTTGTCAATTTTTGAATAAATGATTAATTTGTTCAATAATAAAAAAGAAATATTTCAGTTGTTTAACTTCATTACTAAGCTCCTATAAAGAAACTTTAAAATCTACTATTCTATCTTTTGATGGTTTTTGATTTTGATTATTACCCTGAAGAAGTCCTGACAAGTTAGTTGCACAAAACGTTCGGATTATTTAAATTTCAACCGCTGAGATTATTTCAAATATAATTTTCATATATAATGACTACTCTATACTCGAGGCCCAGTTTATGCCAAACTATTTGTTTTAATCTTGACGAATATCCGTATAAATTCTATCTTTTATTTATAAAAATATTTCGGGAATTTTCCTAATCAAATGTCTATTTGTAATTATTCACATGGTATTATTTAAAATTATTGCCAATATCTAGGCAATAACAGTTAGTCCGAATAAGAGAGATAATTTCGTGAAGAGTATCTTTGTATGTTATATATTTTGTTTCAGGTTTGATTCCATTTGAGGTAAGCATGATTGAAAATAGTCTCAAACCAAATCAAAAACTTTGTATGATGGTCCTTAGCTTCCTAAACTACTGACATTTCATAATTCGATCTACATAGAGGTTCCTTCTGACCACAATAAAAGCATTTGTCTTTACAATAATTTATTCTTACTCAAGTACATGTACAACAAATAGTATTAAATGAATGCATTTTACGGCTTTACTTTAGTTGAACTTTAATTGATACGGCAATATTTAAACAAAATTATGAAATCTGTTGGTAAGATTTAATATATGCTAACACTATCATACAATTCTGTCAATTTCATTTTACATTTTTAGTTCAAACAACATCGAGTTACTTGGCAAAAATTCTTAATTTATGATAATTTGAATGATGAGAATCACTTCTAAACTGTGCGAAACTTTCAAGTCAACTTTTATTTACCCATAACTACGTTCCAGTTGGCTCTCATTTGCTTATTTATTTAAACATGTGCCCCACTTCGTCATTTCATTTGTGTGAGGGCTGGAATACTGCCTGAGTGCTCAAACCGAAGCAGGTGGTTTTCTTTGACCTAGAGGTCTAATCCACAGGGCAGTGGAGCAATGTTAAAAGATACAGTCACATGGTAGCTGGTGATCAACAATAGGTACATACGAATTTTGTTCTCTCAAGATCCTGGAGCCCATGTACACCACTGGTTTGGAATCAGGGTTTTTCAACTCGCCTATGTGGACCCTCCGCGTCCATTAACCCGATTAAAACCTCAGACATTCGCTTTTCGTCCTGTTAATTTCGTAAACAACAATCCTCGTAGCGAGAAGGCAGTTAGTAGGAGTTCCATGACAGCGGCTATATACACGTGGCCATGTGAGAGAATTTCGAAAGGAAAAGTTGATTCTCCTTACCTTTGACCGCACCAGGGCATTTGTGGGCAAACTGAGAGCTAACTGCCAGCCAGAACCCGAGATCGAACCGAGAACACCTAGAACTTCAGTTTTACGCTCTACCAACTAAGCTATTCCGGCTTCTCTGATGTGCTATCGTGGGAAGTTATAACAAGCAGAGTAGAGCAATGACATTAATTAAGGTTCATGCTATATCCAAAATTAACTGATTAGAAATATGAACTTTTAGATATTGGCTCATTGGATTAATGAGATCTTGTTAGAAGTGCAATATGAAAAATCTCAGCTTAATATTAAAAGTGATGATGAGTGAACACTTCAATAGAATCTCAAAGCCTAATGGAATAGTTATTATTCATTGTTCTGATATGTACAGTGAAGATAATGTTCATATTGTATAAAATCGCTTTCACATAATAAGACCCACAAAAATGGTTAAAAAAGAAGTAGGGAAATAAAATATTAGGGAAGACCAAACTAAAATAAGATGATTATTAATATTTATACGTATACATGTTAATAAGTACAGATTTCCAGGTTGAGATCAGTATTATGATCATATCCTGTAGTTGGAGATACCAAGTGATAAAATCAACCGAAATCTCACAGTTGTATTCATTCCCTATCTTCTTATAGAATTTGTTCACCATTCTACACATTTTATTCTCCAGTTTCATTGATTCGTTTGGATACCATATCTTGTATGTCAATAATTTTACTGTGACATATATTTTTTTCTGGGTTCAGTTTTAGTCAATCTATCAATTGTTGTACTGAAAAGGACTATGTCAAATTAGATCAATACACATTGTTGACAAGTTCCACATTATCTATGACTAGCTGAATGACGAAATGTCCATAAAACTAACATAACAGTACTAATGTATCAAAACAAATTCTGAGAGATTTTCAGAATCTACCCTTAAAACATTCCATAATTCAGCAAAAAAACGAAGCAGATATAAAATTTATTTAATTACCTTTTCACTATATACTTAATAGCTTCATATTCTAAGCTGATATCATTTTTGAATGAGGATTCTTGAGAAAGGTATCCCAACTTATGCATTACTGTAATCATACCGAGTACTGGATCATTGATTTCACGTAAATTACCTTGATTGATTGTTATCGTAGGCAAAATTTGTGCAGTAGTTGATATTTCTAAAAAAAAAGTAATTTTTTTAAAAAGGAAAAAATTAGAATGATCAGTAATACGATGACGTTGGGAAGCAGTTCCCTAATATTTTGTGAATGTTTTGCAAAATTAAAATAAGACACTTGAGCAATAATTAGTAGTGAAATTTGTAGTCAGTTATGTTGTTAACTGAATTTTAATTAAATGGATAAAATTTTCATATAGATGACAAGAAGTTAACCTAATACCTACATAGGATTGATGCTCGATCTACGCTATTTAAAGTTTACAATTATTTACGCTTTTAATGATTTCTTCTAATCGGACTTATTTTAGTTAAATATTTTGTACAAAGTTGTGTAATTTTGATGGATAAAGTGACTTTTATTGTTGATCAGTTGTCCTGAAAGGTCTTCTTCGGAATAATTTCATCTTTGAAAGTAACTGTCTAGCATTCCTACAATATTTAGAACTCTGAGAATCGATGAGAAGTGTATTACTATGTAGTTATTCGAGCGACTACAACAGAATCCCAGAGTTCTCATATTAAAACAATCTAACAAGAATCTACATTATTTTTTACTTCCAATATTAAAATAATATTGTGGAATAATTTAACATCATATTTTGGATAATAATTTTAAGCATCGTCATATTGTAAGATTAGATGCTAAAACTCCACAAGGACAAGCCAAACACTTTAAGGTAATCCAAACGTTCTTAACACAAGCACCATAAGCACAGATGGATGATGGCCCGCGGCAGAATCCAGGATGCGCGCTTCGTCCTATTTGGGACTCGCCAGCTGGATGTTTTCGCATCCCAGAGTTGATGTTCAATTTGGGACTAGAATCCAGTACAGTTCGTTTCAAACGCCATCGCGTTATCTACTGAGTTACTGAGTCCAGATAGCCACCAGCCTGCGCACTTGGACGACGTTTAATTTATTGTTGTATTGGTTGTCTGAATATTCCCATTGACGTTATAATGCCTGTAACTTAAGGCAATAGCGAGACAATTCGCGCGGGATGCACATATACCAATAAGAGACTGGTCAAATGTAGTCCTAAACGTTAATGGAAATATTCCAACAACTAACAAAAAAATGAATTCTTGATACAAATTTAAAACTTTTATCCATCTTAATAGCTTATACAATCAAATCTAGTTACTAATTGAAATGCCGCAACAACTTAATGGTTTAATTGTAATTTATAGGATAACAATCTATGCTTTTCCGCTTTGCACCATACAATATTTAACACCACTATCCAGTTAATAAATAATAGTATATTGTAAAAATAAGAAAAAATCAATGAAATGACCGGCTAAAGGCATTCGATGTATTTTTGCTTATACATTGCCTACTTAATATATGATTACGCAGTATGTTTATGAATTAAGGTGGTTGAGTGAGAATACGGTTAGAAAATGTTTCGTATATTACTATTTCAAAATAACTTCATGTCTAATCATTTGTAATTACAATTAACCCATTTAATCTTACAAGCTAAATAAAAAGTAAATTTGATTCATTCAATACATAAGTGAAAACGTTGTTCATAACTATTACATTAGATAAACGTTGCACAATTCAAGCAGAAACAATATCCAGTCTAGTAACGGTTAGCGAAAATCTAATTGAAGTTCATAAATGATCATAATCCCATTTTAATGTGAACGGCTAATATATTAGTTGTTTATCTGGACTGATTTACTATTGTAATTCTAGAAGATTACTTTAACACATTGATGATGTATTTAATTAAATTACATATTTGTATGATGCATAAATTGAAGTGAGAATAATAAATGTTAGTAAGTAACATAATTAACTCCGCCTGAAGTCCCTCCGGGGGTTACTGCCGGTCCCAAGCCCGGATAAAGGAGGAGGGTTGGGCATGGGGTTAGCGACCCTATCCCGTAGAAAACTAACTCGCTAAAAAAAACACTAACCAGAAAAAAATTATTCAAACCTTTTAAAGTAAAGTAAGTAAGTAAGTAACATAATTGTGAAATATTATCAATATCATTATTTATAAGATAAAAATTACAATTCACTGATTGTGAGAAATGTACTTCCCTAATTGTTAACTAAAAATGAAGTTTAAGTAAACGTTTAATTTATTTATCTGATGAACAATCTGCAATACTCAAGTTTATCATGATGTGAATTATTCCATTATATCAAAGCTACTAGAGTTCAGTTTGAATAGGAGACGTATTCACTATTCAGGTCACACAAGAAAAATACAACTTCATAAAATTCCGATCATATTTATAACTATCGTACTAAATGGAATATTACTATTAAAAAAATGACTTACTTTCTACATTGGAATCAGGTACTCTAACCTGTAATTAATCATAAAATTGATGTATAAAATATATTCATTAGGCATATTAAAAATGTAATTTATAATTTTTGTTATTTATGATATACAATAGAAGTATATTTCACTGGTTGAAATCATGAGTCAATTGAAGCTATACCACCATGGAAAACCTGGAAGCACTGAACGGCCGTTTCGTCATATTGTGGTACTCCTCAGCAGTGCGCATCCACGATCCCACTCGCGGGATTCGAACACAGTACCTCTAGTCTCGCGCGCGAACGCTTAACCTACTGGACCACTGAACCGGAACCCAATGGTGTTATTGTCTATTGTGGATGCGCACTGCTGAGGAGTCCCACAATAGGACGAAACGGCCATCCAGTGTTTCCAGGTTTTCAATGGTGGTCTAACATCAATCAGTTCGTGATCTCAATCATAAGCTTAACAATCTCCACAACCACTAAACTAATAATTCAATATATTTATGTTCATTTAGTAAACAGGCAGAAATGACCTTTCAAATAATAAAAGTACGCTGGTGTTATAACTGTGACTGCAGATTAGAGAGCAGCGTATTATCGACTGGACCAAAGACGTGTAAAACACGTAAGGACTGCCTAGAGTTCTGACTGCTTCCCCCTCCCTGTCTAGCCCAGCCAGTTGAGTTCAGAACACAAGTCTCAGCCTCTGAGATATGAATCGTTATATTGTAAGCATACTCTGTTTATATACCAATCAAGCAGAACACATCGTACCATAAAATAGAAAATAACATTTGACACGCGAAATAAGTATTGACCAGTAGGAAAATGACACGTGAAATCAATATTGACCAATAGGAAAATGATACCATCTCAAGTCCAATGATAGCGTTAGACTTAACAGAATAATTTTCGGGATATTTTTCTGAATATCCCAACAGCTGGATATTTTTATTTTTGAAACCTTAAGAGTAAAATTAAGCGTGTTCTAAGTAGTAATTAACTTCTTTTTGAAAGATAATTAGAAGCAAATAGTTAAATTTTAACAGTTAAATTCATTAGAGAATTTATGATCTTTGAAACATTGTCTGGTAGTTAAATACAAAGCTTAAAAAAAGTTTCATTATACGGTTAAGACGCATTCCCGTTTAAAATTTTTTTATCCATATTCAACAGTGTTATTCAGGATAAATATTGTCAATTATTACAAATAATAATTATTATAAATTCACTTGGTATTGTTTACTTGAATCTTCCCATTAATGTTTAGGAATGCAATCGATTCGTCTATCATTGGCAGATGTGCATACTCTGTGTATTGCCTTTATAATGCCTTAATTCACAAGCATTATAAGCAAAGATGGATAGTGTATAGCAGTGGAATGCAGGATGAGTATTTCGTCCTGAATGATCAATTGAAGTCCTAAACATCAATGGGATGATTCAAGTAAACAATACCAAATGAATTTAAACTTCACCCCATTGCACAAGCAAGTGGCTATCTGAACTCAGTAGCTAAGTGAGTAATGCGATGGCATTTGAAGTAAACAGTATTGGGTTCGAGTCCCAAAGTGAATATCAACTCTGAAATACAGGTACATTCAAATGACGAGTCCCAAATAGGGCGAAATGAGCGTGATGTATTTCACTGCTAGCCGCTATCCATCTTTTCTTGTAATAGTTATTATACTTTGAATATCCTATTATTCAAATATGTTTACCAGTAAACACATGTTCAGTCAGAAATAAGTAAGCTAGATGAATGATAGTATACTGATACCATATCATAAAACAACAAAATGTTATATTTAATAATAAAATTAGTATATTTGTAAAGCTGCAATGTGTTTAAATTTATGCTAGTTTAATTCGTTTATATATTCTTGTTGTCGGAACAAGTGGATTAAACTAGGTGATGAAATATTAGAAAATCGATTTCTTACTAATTGGGACTTTACAAATATAATATATTTATTACAAACAATCTATCCAATAAATAAGAACTTTATTCTAAATTTGATCGAATAGTTTCACAGTGTTTGAGCGCTGAGTTGATGTGAGACATTAAAGAGGTAGAACGTATTTGTTAAATCTCAGCGAATGAATTTGAAGTAAAACCAACGTTTCACCTGGCAATCTGGTCCAAGTTTTTTCAAGGAAAAAAATACATTCTTCCTCTTCAATCTATCCAATGCTCAATTTATTTGAAATTACCTAGTCGAACCCTAGTGATAATACTCAAAAATATGTATATGTTCTGAATCAAATTGAAAAGTTCTCTTTCCAAGTAATTTTTAGAAACCCACTTATTCAAATTCAAAGCTAACAGACATCAAATAGTATACACTCTTAAGAATAATCCCTGCCACAAAGCATCTGTATGTCAATTTTTACTCTTGTTTAGGCTGTGGATATACATTGTTAGGAAGTCCAATACCAGAAGGAAACAGATCAAGTGTTCTGTGATTTGCGAATAGTTGTCTAGTTACAGTTATTTAATGACTTTGGTCATGAATCTTCAGTTTGTTAAAACAAAAAGTGATAATTTCATTTGCATAGTTATAATAACACACAGAACAATAATAAAAATGAGGGATAGTGGACTGGTGTGACCTCTCATGGAAGAGAATGGGCTTCTCACCAGTATTCTGCATCGAACCCGATGTTTACTTCACATTAGTAAGTGATAGCTTGTAGATGAGTTGTTTGGTTTACAATAATAATTAGTGGGTAACAGGTTGATACATTAATACAAAACAACCATAAAGGATGATAATAATATTTAAAAAATAAAGTTTATAAACAGTGCAAAAATGCGTTAGATGTGCAAAGAGACTTGTGTTAATAACTATGAAATTTGTCAATGATGAAAACAGTGTTATGATCTGAAAACTAAATTTGCATATTTGACGCCAAATTATCGAATGCTATAGAATAAACAGATTTTCCTGTCCTAAAGTGAATAGAGAGAGAGGATTAAGTGTTGCATACTTTATTTCCTCATTTAAATAGTTATTTGATTACATAATACATGCCTAAAAGACTACTTGAACTTCTTACTTTATTAATATATGTATTATGTTTCTCATAAACTTGTTCATCCTTAGAGTGTTTAAAAGGACAACACAAATCACATATAATGGTATTTTGAAACTCTTTTAATTTTCCTTTAATTTTTGCACATTTTGATTGTGTAGCATCTAATTGGGACAGAATATCACTGGTCAAATAAGTAGCCACACCTAAAATAAACAATGAAGTAAACACATAAATTGTATTTACACTAAGAAATTTATGCTCTTTATCAATTAAAAATACAATTTCCTATATACATACATGAAAATTAAAGTTGTTAGTTTGTTCCAAACAAAGATTTAGGTTTTAATACAACAGGCTACTCCAGCAAGATGTTTTTCAATACATTGAACACAACTCCAACCGTTTTCTGCGAACCGAATGAACAAAATTATTTGTTATCAGGACTGAAGGTAATGTACTGACTATTTGATTTGACTATTGTTCAATTACTATCGTGGTTGTGGCTGTGCACTACTGAGGATTTTAATGCTAAGTTAGTACGTGATATTAATTACCTTTATTTATTGTATGTTAAGATATTAAGAAAATAAACCTGATTTTATGAAACAAGTATCATACTTTTTCAGTACGTGGAATTACGTTACTGAATGTAATACAAATAGTTTACAAGCCATCAAATCATGAAATCGATAGGAAGACGTTATCAACCTCAAGATTAGAAGAACATGCCACTTAATAATCTCTTTACGTATCACAAAAATGTTGAAACACAAAACAACTGTGATAATTTCTACATTATATCCTTAGCACCGATTTTCAACAACGGCGGAGACTCCCTTAGGGAGACTATCATTATTAATTTTAATATCATTATTATCACCATTATCAGTATAGGATTGTATAGATCGCTGAATTTCATTAAAATTATGAACCGACTAATGTGGATTGGTTGAAGTTAGACATTAGCAACACTGGATGCTGGCTCAGTGGTCTAGAGGTTAAGCGTTCACGAGCGAGATCGGAAGTCCTGAAGTCGATCCCTATGTGCGAGGAGGAGTCTAATACTAGGACAAAACAACCGTCCAGTGCTTCCAAGTTTTCAATGGTGGTCTAAAATTTTTCGGTTCATCATTCTAATCATTATTACTATTACGGCAGCAATGTTTAATACTAGTTAGTGATTTATATGAAAAGGTCAATTTTAAATTCTAATTAAAATTCATACCATATCAGGAAAATTCCAAATCTTATTATTAGTCCCATCAACCTTGTCATAAACCATGATCAATAAGAAATCTACATTGTTCTCAAGAAGCTTTAATCGTATCAAAGGTGTTGATCTATTTCAGAAGAGTTCAAACTTTTACAAAATAATGCAATTTTAAAATAAAAAGAATCTGAATTATTTGAGTGCAGTGAATTATATTCATATACAATAAACAGATGTATAAAATGCTCGCTTATTTTGTAGTTTACCTGTTATATCAGGTCTCTGAGCTGGATCAGGTTTTAGACAAACTTCAATTATTTGATCAACAAGATTAGAATATTGATTTGGACATTTAATTTTGACTGATTGATATTCACCTTTTACGATACGTGATGCAGTACTAAGAATGCATTCACCTTGAAATGGTGAAGTAAATGTACACATCTGATATAGAATACAACCAAGTGCCCATATATCTGCACCTTCACCATACGGAAGACATTGTATCATTTCTGGACTATAGATGAGTTTCATTTTAAAAATATATAAAATAGGTATTGTTAGATTAAATATACAATTATTATTAAAATATGCACGATTCTCAAACGAAAGGATAGAAATTGAAATTAGTGAAATGATTCCTCATTATTATTTACACTCACCATTGACTAAAGCGAAAGAAAAAGACTAGGTTTCTTGACTATTATTCGGAGCTGTGAGAGATAGTCTACATCAACCAACAATTCAATAATAAATCGAAAAGTAGAACAACTCTTAATAAACTCAAAGCGGAAACCAGTAAACTCTTACAGTCATTAAAGGCCAAGCTAGGATCGTCATTATGGTTTATGTTACACCCAAAGAGTTGTAACCCTTGCAGATTTTATGGACTCCCAAAAATTCACAAGAGTAATACTCCAGTAAGACCAGTGGTAGACTTTACAAATTCACCGACTTATAATCTAGCCAAATATTTAGCTTAGATACTCAAACCGTATGAAAAACTGATTAATCATGGAATTAAAAACTCTATGGAATTCAAGAATTTGATTGATACCATCGATATAGAAGAGGATGAAATTATGACAAGTTTTGATGTATCTTCCTTATTCAATAATGTACCTATCAATAGAGCTTTCACTTCACGTGCCTGTTACTCCCAGTGGAGCATAGGCCGCCGACCAGCATTCTCCAACTCACTCTGTCCTGGGCCTTCTTTTGTAATTCCATCCAATTCTTGTTCATTTTTCTCATGTCTATCTCCATTTCCCGGCGTAATGTATTTTTTGGTCTCCCTCTTTTCCCTTGGCCTTGAGGATTCCATGTGAGGGCTTGTCTTGTGACGCAGTTTGGTGCTTTTTTGAATGTGTGTCCTATCCACTTCCGTCGCTTCTCCCTGATTTCTTCGTCTACTGGGATCTGGTTTGCTCTCCACCTGGAGCCCCTCCGGGGGTTACTGCCGGTCCCAAGCCCGGATAAAGAGGGAGGGTTGGGCATTGGGTTAGCGACCCCATCCCTTAGAAAATTAACTCGCTAAAAAAAACGGTAAGTAGAAACATTTTTCAAAAGTAGAGCTTTGGATATTATCAAGGATTGTTTAGAATCTGATTCAGATTTGAATTTACGTTGCTCGTTAGATCCATCTGAGATTATCAAATGCTTGGAATTATGTCTAAGATCTGCTTTATTCATATTCCAAGGTCACCTTTACAAACAGGAAGAGAGTGTAGAGATGGGTTCACCAGTTTCTCCGAATGTAGCGAATTTATTCATGCATTCCCTAGAAACTAGTGCAATCGCAAGAAGTGTATGTCCACCAAAGGTATGGTTAAGGTATGTAGACTACATTTTTATTATTAATAAACGGGTTGGTTTAAAAGAATTATTTGACAATGTAAACAGCATTTCAGAAAACATTAAGTTAACGAAGGAATTAGAATCATTTGACCACAAACTAGCATTTCTCGATTGTTTGGTTGAACGTAGACACAATAATAATAAGTTGAAAATAAATGTTTACAGGAAATCAACACATTCCGAGAGATACTTAGATTTTGATTCGGTTCATGCACAGTGCACGAAAGTTTATGTTGTAAAAAATTTAATGAACGGAAGTACTAAGCTTGTTACAGATAGTGAAAACCAACGAACTGAACTGAATAAAGTATTTTCTACTCCTAGGGATAACAACTACCCAAAAGAATTTTTAAAGAAGATTGTTAAAAATGAGGGAAAAACTAAACTAGAATGTATACGAAACGTTTAGAAGTACACCGTAGTCATCCTGTAGTGAACAGAACACGAGTGGGGTCAATCGAATGTATTTAACACAAAATTACAGAACTTATTGATAAAATGTAATCACAAAGTGCTTAATTTGTAAAATGTTCATCGATTGTCTCAAAATGACTCAGACTTCATTGTTCTTGCATTTTGTTTCCATTCTTTACTGTTCGATCCTCTTGTCTCTCTGCTTCCAGACCTTCTGTTTACGACTAACATCATATACTATTTATGTCAATATAAGTAGCACACACCACAATCCCACACCGTAGTGAAACATCAGAAGAAACCAAGCGGATTCTAAACAAACATGATATAAGAGTGTATTTTAGGGCAAGTAACACCTTAAGATCGACATTAGTGAAAGTTAAGGACAGGTTACCAAAGGGAAAACAACAGAATATTGTGTATGAGATCAACTGTCATGATTGTAATGCAGCCTATGTTGGAGAAACATCCAGACAATTGAATGTAAGGTTGAAGGAACACAAACAATGTTTGAAAAATGTTCCCAAATCCTCGGTTGATGTGAAGAAACTTGAGAATAAGCGTTACACGCGTTAGAAACAGAACACAAGATTAAATTTGAAGAGACCGAAATACTTCAGAAAGGTTTTAACACTCATAAACAAAGACTGACAGCAGAAACGTTGTATATATGAGCGAACAAGAACAGCCTGAACTGAAAGGATGGTTTTCAACCAGCAAATACCTGGCAAATTTTTGTTTGACAAGTAATTTGAATTTTCTCTTTATTCAACCTGTTTATTTCACATGCATCTTTATTTTTGACTGAATTTAATGACTTGTTAGCAATACAATTATGTGTTTGTTTGATTCTTAAATTTGACATGCACATCGATGATTCATTAACAAATTTTTAAACCTTGAACTTGAACTTTTATTTACTTATTCTTTCATATACAACATATTAACACCGAATATCAATGATTAATTCCCACACATACATACATTTTGTTATTCAGTGCTGAGGTGTCCCACAATAGGACGAAACGGCCGTCCAGTGCTTCCAGGTTTTCCATGGTGGTCTAGCTTCAATTGACTCATGATCTCAACTGTTGAAATTACTACAATCTCCACAAAACCCCTTCTGATTCAGTTAATTATTTCCATGTAGTTGATTTTTTCACATGATTTTTAGTTAACTGACTCATGTTACCCTGTTCAACATCCAAATATGATTGGTTTAACACAGTACAGTTTTGATTGTTAAAAAGATATATATCTCTTTGATCATATTGATTTTGATTATTACCCTGAAGAAGTCCAGACAAGTTAAGCTGGACAAAACGCTGGAATTACTTAAATTTCAATCGCTGAGATTATTTCAAATATAATTTTTGCATATAGTTATTTCTCTATACTCGGTGCCCAATTTCTGTCAAACTATTCGTTCTAATCTTGACGAATATTAGTATAGTCTACTTTAGTTTAGACATTTGAAGCAGTATAACTATCTTTCATTCAATTAGATGTAGTTTGTTACCGAAAACTATTTAAAAATAGACTCAAAATGGACAAAAAAACTACATATTCATTAAATAACAACTGTAACCGTGATTCATCTTAAAAGTTTCATATCTTAAGTGAACAGTAAAAAGATACTAATTCATAAGGAGTACTACTAAATAAGATGTTATTTATGATACAATATATAATAAGCATCAAAATAAATTAAATAATACCAGGCATAAAATAATGTACCAACAGTTGATTTTGTTTCATTTGAATTCAATGTTTTGTGATATGCTAAACCGAAATCCGTTATAGTAACCTGAAATACATAAACATAATTACTGGTAAGTATTTGTTATAACGTGAAAAATAATGCTGCGGATTAAGGGGTAGCGAATTATTGATCGGACCAAAGAAGCACAAACACGTAGAACGACCTAGGGTTCTGATTGGTCTCACTTCCCTGTATAACCCAGCCAGTTGAGTCCAGAACGCAAGCCACAGCCTCGGATATATGAATCATTATATTTCAAACATACTTTGTTTATATACCAGTCAAGCAGACCACAACGTACCATAAAATAGAAAATAACTTTGTACAATAATGGCCAGTAGGAAAATGACACGTTAAACAAATATTGACCAATAAGATGATACCATTCCATGTCCAAGGATAGCATTAGGCTTAACAGGATAATTTTTTGGATATTTTCCTGAATATCCCAACAGTATTATAATTCATTATTATAGTTTTTAATTAAATTTAATTAGAATTTCTTTCAAAAGAAAAATGGCCATAAAAAGTAACAAGTGTATTAATTCAAAAGTATAAATTATTTAAGTAAAGCCAGAACAAACATGGATACAGAATAATATGAATTCATTATGTTTTTTGGTTTCTCATCAGATGCTTTACATTGAGGTAAGACATATTGTGGAACAAGTAACATAGATGGATGAAAAGAATTGGAATGACAATGGTTATCAATAATAACTATGTATATGTATGCAAGAACAGGTCAGAGGTTATTTTGGTGTTAGAATCAAGAAAACAATAACTTATTTCAATTGTTTCACACTATATTTTACCTCAATGTAAAATTCTAATACATATTTGATTGTAAGCAGCTGATGAGAAACCACAAAATATAATGATTTCATATTATTCTGCATCCATGTTCGTTCTGGCTTTATTTAAATTCATAAAGGGAACTAATTTTATGAAATTTATGACGTATTGTTAATGTTTAAAAAGTTTTTCATTAAGCAAGTCACTTGAAGAGAAGAACTAAGCTCCTTGAAAGCCCGTTTTTCAATGGGATACATCTTCAGTTGCCAACACTATTATACATTATTATTATTACTATTATAAGCCTTATTCAATACTATATTTTGGGTACTATATAGAATTCTCAGCATAAAGTATTTCAACCAAACTCTCAAAACACCAGCGTTGATTACTTTGAGAACATTAACGAAGAAATCTATATCTGATATAACTAGTTTAAAAAGTAAATGTGCAAAATGCCAGTTAAGACTGTTCTAAGCTGACTTCAAATCGATATCTTACTAGATTGTATGTTAAATGGACAAAATGACTTATACAGTGGTTACAGAGAAGACTTTAAAAATCTTTGGTTAAGTGAGAAAAAAACCTATATTCTTGTATAAACTGAAGATATTTTCCATCACTAACTGAAGGATCATGCAAAAACTAGTGAACAATGAATATTTACTTTCGTTTTAGTTAAAACCTCCTAAGAATTGAATATTCCTGAACTCACATAGACACTGATATAGTGAGCTAAATAGAAGTAGCCAAACAGGAATGCCACTTAATGAAAATCAGAAATGACCTAAAGGACAACTCCATATTCAAATCCAGATGTTCTGTTACCAATGAATCTATCAATCTATTGTGTCTCGACTGGATCACGGATTTGAAAATGTTCGATCGACCACTTAATCTTATTTATGGTCCAGATTTAAAATTGTTCGTTCAGTTATATAATCTTATTTGTAATCAAGGGTCTCCCCTTCCTTTTATGATATACAAATGGAGGCAGTTTTCCAGTGATTTTCAAAATGATCACAAGGGGAGAGCACGACAGAGAAAAATACCCGGATTAATCCCACACCCAGCCTCACTTAATGCTGTATCGCCAGCCAAATCAATGTTCGGAAGAAGGACTCGAACTTCACGTGGCGCCAAGAAATCACATAGAAAAAAGCCAGATTATAAATCTGAGATGGGGAGAACTGCATTTCGTCTTACTTAACGTCCAAGGATGTGGACTTATTTTTCAGGAGGGACGAGTTAGATAGTGAGCCAGCCAGATCTAGCCGAATGAGGCCACATGATGACTATCAAAAATGACGTGGAGAATAACCACATATCAATTGACTAAGAAATGGATTCAGCTTATAAGGAATATAGATATGAGTATTTATGTACATTATTCGGTAGATCAGTAGATTTTCCGTCCCATTCTTGTCTTCTCGCTCAAGCGGTCTGTTTGGAGGGTTAGCGAATACCATGCTATATATCACTCAGATTTCGGAAAGCGCCCATCATAACTGGGATGCACTCAAATCTCTTACGTTTCATGTTCATCAATATACCGTAGAATCACTGAGTCGAAACTGATTTTTTTCTATTGTCATTTTGTTCAATCTAATGTCACCACCAGCGAGTGACTATTACCTTTCTTCCGAATAGGTTTAACGTCGCACATCAACTAAGATTTCAAGAAATTCATCTGGACGATAATCCCATATAGGTGCATGATTATTATTTATTAAGCTGGGTTCTTTGCATATTATTTTCTAGTGATTATTGATTAATATCAGTCTACAGCTATAATTTCATCTCGTAAGGAAGACTACTTTTAAAATAACAATGGCTTAGTAGAGTGAACTAGTACATTACTTACCTTGTTACCTTCACTAATCATTATATTATTTGATGATAAGTCTCTATGCAGTATTTTCTTCTCTTTATGTAAATAACGTAAACCTAATATTAACTGAATAAACATATTCCAGATTTGTGATTCACTGAAATGTATATTCTTCTCTTTAAAAGATATAAGTAACTCTGTCAACGAAACGCCATCCAATAATTCCATCACAATGTATAAATGATCAGCTGTAGAAGCCAAGAAAAAAGTAAGCGAATATTTAGTGATTAATGTAATGTTTGATTAATTTTCATTTGTACAAGTCACCGTTAAATAAGACGATTGAAACAAAAGATATTTTGAAGATTATTTCAAGTTTATTATTTATTAAGAGTAGAAGATGCTCGTACGCTACTAGTATTTGACTACAGATGCCTTAGAAATATTGCTGGCGTCTGCTGGGATCACCGGGTAAGTAATAGTGAGGTTAGACGCAGAATATTAGGGAATGATGATAAATCAATTGATGAGGTTGTATATCTTCATGGACTGAGATGGTTGGGTCACGTGTTACACCGATCGCCACGATGTGCAATGCTGATTAGTGTTGGGGAAGGTTGGAAGGAAGTGAGGGGCGGCCAAACCAAAACGCGGCATCAGTGCTTGAAGTTACTAACTTTTAGTCTGAGTTATTTTGGTAGAGGCAAACTACTTGATTGGGGTCCGCATGACTATCGTAACCAATAGTTGGAGACTCTGGGTGATATGGCTCAGAATCGATCACAATAGCGTAGGTGTATACACTCTCTGTCTTCCCTCAAACTGTGAGATTAAGATCATCTTTACTGTGAATAATTTGAAATCTAAATGTAAGTTGAAATACTGAAAACAAAAGTAAATTTTATCAGAAGGGGTTTTGTGGAGATTTTAGTAAGTTTATAGTTGAATTCATGAGTAGGTTGAAGCTAGACCACCATGGAAAAGCTGGAAACACTGAAAGGCCGTTTCGTCATATTGTGGGACTTCTCCGTAGCAGTGCGCATCCACGATCCCACCTCGCGAGATTCAAACCTGGGACCTATCAGTCTCGCGCGTGAATGCTTAACCTCTAGATCACTGAGCCGGCATCCAACGGTGTTAATGTTTAACCTCAACCAATCCACGAACTTGAGCGACATATCCACCATTGTTTTTCAGTGAGTTTCTTACTCACAACAGACCCGGTTGAACTCCAGTGGTCACTGCTTCTCACTAGAACTCCAGGAAATACCTCTCGAAGCCGACTTAGTGGTTTAGAGGTTAAGCGCTTGCGCACGAGACTGATAGGTTCTGGGTTTGAATCTCACGGCACGGGATTGTGGATGCGCATTTCTGGGGAGTCCTATGCTAGGACGAAACTACCGTCAGGTGCATCCAGGTTTTCCAATGGTGGTCTAGCTTCAATCGACTCATGATTTCAACCTGTGTAATAAATTATATCCCAAATGAATTGAAGACGAGATGAACTGAAATCGAATATCGCATATATCAGTCAAAAGAATCATACAACAATTTAAATAATTAGCATGTTTTATTAAAAAGGGGGAATTTCAATAGCTGAGATCATGAGTCAGTTGAAGCTAGACCACCATAGAAAATCTGGAAGCACTGGACGGCCGTTTCATCCCACAATAGGGCTCATGATGTCAACCATTGAAATTACTATAATATCCACGAAAACCCTTTCTGATAAAAAGGGGAAATGTTGAACAAAATCTGATCATAGAAAATTAGCCACTTTTCTTAATGGCTAAATCATTCTTTTAGATGGTCAATGAATAACGGAAAGTATTCACCCAATAATTTTATCAAAAACAAATTTTCAGGGTGATGAAAAGTACTCACTTCCGATTTAATCTTAAGTACTGCTATTTACCATAAGATTCAATCACACTATAAATGTATACAGTTAACACACATTGATGGATATGATGATCATTACTAACAATCACTATTACTACTATTCTTTGTTTGGTCTCGAACCATGACAGCTGAGGTATCTAGTATTTCCTAGTTTTCAAAAGTTTACCAAACAAAACCAGTCGATGACGCAACCAACTCAAAATTTTATATTACTGAAAATGGTTAGTCCCCTTAATAAGTATTTTTGCAGTAATATTATCGGGTGCAGATTCAATCTCAAGCAAACATCGAAAACTAGGGAAGTGTTTTTCAAAATGGACTACATTCAAGATATCCCAATAATAAATCTCATGTATTATTAAAAGGGAAATGAAAATAGGTTTGAATTAGTGATTTCATACAAGTAAAAAACTTACAATCTAAAAATGTTTTATAATAACGAACAATATTTGGATGCCTTAGTTGTTGACGTATAACATTGACCTCATTCAATATACGATCAATACACTTTTGACGTTCATTGGAAGTTCGACCAAAAAATATTTGACTAGTACTAACCTATGAATATAGATTAATTAGAAAATAGACTGATATAAATTATGAATAAAGTTCTCTTGATCTTTACTATTGGTATTGTTTACTACTCTCTTCCATGTGTCAACACATATTATTGATAGCAAGAAAAATACAAATTACTTTTGTTTCTAAAATTTTCATCAATTTCACATAGACTTTTAGTGGCCCGTGGATCTGACTCCAAGATGACTGTAATGATGATTGTTGTTGAAATATATATATATATATATATATATATATATATATATATATATATATATATATATATATATATATATCGCCTATCCTCGTATATAATCATTGACTTAAATCGTGTTAGTCAATAACGGAATTAAATAAGTCAAATAATGAGAATGGACTTGTGAATACATAAATTTTGTATATAAAGCGAATGGAATAGAGAGAAGAGAAAGGACGCAGAGTGGATATGCCTGGTATGCCAACTCCCCTTTAACCAAGCTTTAATCAATATTTATAGTTACACAAAAGTAAGTTACAAACATGTGATGGGTAATGGGATAAGAAATGTACACACACCTACGCGCTTACAGAAAAACAGTCAAGATTGATAAGCGAATAATTAACAAGGTCAGAATGTGACTCAAGTAGAATGAATAGAATGAGCTGTCCGAAATCTAGAATAAGGTATATGGGCTTAACATAATAACCGACACTACAGACTAAATGAATTCATAAAACTAGGAGAAAAAAGTCACAGTGATCCTCTCAGTTACCTCTTTATTAAAGTCTATCGAAACATAATAAATAATTTAATAATAAAAGAAGATAAAATCAATTATTTAATAAACTAATATTTAGAAATTCTTTATTAGTACATAACTCCTTTAAAAGAAATAACTTACAATCGCTATAGATAAGCTAAAACACTAATATTCACACTTTTTATCTTGATAGTGACCAGCAGCTGTATGTACCTGCATTCTAATGCCTTATATTCATACTAAGACTCGAAAAGGCTATATTTCGCTTCAAAAGCCTCGTTAACGTCAGCAGTGGTAAAATGTAAACAGTTACAAATAATATGCTCTTTGATATGAAAAACAGTCACTCGAATATCACCAGTTCATTCCATTATTGATTTCAGTTAGTTTTTAAAAATAATGAATATCATAACATCTAGAAAATGAATTCATTATTGAAGTTTCATATTATTAGTTCTTAACTAAATAAAGTTATACTTTGTTATTTCCTAACGAAGAATAAATATGTGGTAAATACTAGGAATTATTTATGGACTATTATTACTTATATTTTTATTGGATAACTACTAAGTAACTATATTATATGTATATTCACATTCCTTTTATTATAGGGCTTCATTTGACCTATTGACTACTATCATACAACTTTCTAATTTTAAGTTATTCCCGATTTATTAGTTACAGTCTCCTACAGTCACATCCGCTTTTGGCTTGATCTTGTGTAATTGTTATTTTCTATTTTATTGAATGACGCGGTCTGATTGGCTTGTATACAAGCTACTTATATCTGAAATACATGATTTATGCAATGAAAGCCGAGATTGTGTTCTATACTCAAACAGACAGGGCTAGACGAGAAGAGTCAGTAAAGACTTAGAGTTGACTCTAGGAACATTGCTCTTGAATTAACAATGAAACGGTTGTTTCAGGTTGTATTTATCCTTTGATTTACTCGCCAATTTACTTAACGATGACTTGATTATTTCAGCTGTTATATATATAAGTTAGTCAAGTTAACGAATATCTTCATTATACAATTCAGTGAAAATTACCTTTTTAATTGCATAACTATTATGACACATTTTATCTTTCGTTGCTTTAAAAACTTTACCATATGCACCAGTTCCAAGTAATTCCAATATTGAATATTCACGTACATAATGAATAGGTGTTCGATTTACGTCACAAGAAATTATACCTTCAATAAGTTCATTATATTCTTCATTCTATAGCACAAAAGAAAAAAAAAGTAATCAATACAAAAATGAAACTACGTTTATTTTACTATACAAACATGAGTGAATGACGCCACATTAAATTAAATATTGAATTAACAAACCATTTTCATTTATGATAGAAATCATGAGTCAATTGAACCTAGACTACCATGGAAAACCTGGATGCACTGGACGGCCGTTTCGTCCTAATATGGGACTCCTCGGCAGTGCGCATCCATTCATATTCTTTATCTAGAATACAACGACCTGTTACGTAACTTAATAATTTATCTCAGGATTCTTAATTTTCGTGGATAAGGTGAGAATTTAGAAAAATTAAAACTTTAGATTATAAAATTACTGAATCGTTTTAGTATAAAAACTGAAAATGAATGATTGATATAATGGATATTCGATCCTGTTTAAAAATATGAGCATTTTGAAGTTTAATTTTTAAAAAATAATCTTTATATGTATGATCAGGATGAATAATTCATTGACGGTTATCTGTTATCACCTAAAGATCTGTGAAATACAGTTCCAAAGATAAATTACAAATTAATTATATGATATACTAGACTGTTAATATAATTGTAGGTAATGTTTGTGCTGAAATAGTTGTTAAACGAAATCGGATAAAAAGACAACAAGTTGAATGTAAGTGTAGTCAATAAAAAACCAAACTTTATCCTCCCCATCGTTAAAGATGATGACGTTCCAAGGACAATCAGTAAAAGGTTTAACACCGTATTAGACAGAAAGGAATCTGGAGCCAAACTACAAGTTTTGCATACAATATGTTTAATAACTCAAGAAAAGGTTGACAAGTACCTTTTTTTCATGTTACCGTTATCTATGTCTATAAATTTATATATCCCTCTCAATGCGGTTACATCATTCAGACAGAAAGGAGGGCTTATCCTAGATTTTTTGAAAATCTTCGTAAAACCTCAGGTCAAAAGGCAGAACAACTTAATTTCTACACAGATCTTGGACACAAACCTTCGAGTCGATATATTTAGATCATTCAAAGTTGATAATAAAAAGATAAACTCCAACTTCTCGTAGATTCTTGAAACTGTTGCTCTTAGGCCATCAATATCGAATTTCTGTGTCTAGAAGAAAACAGTCCTTAAAATTTCTCTGATTTGGAAAAAAGAGATCTATTTCGTTACATTATAAAATTCTTTCAACTCCCTGTCTCGATTGTTTACATTATCGCTATAATTTACAACTACCTCTTAGGTACAATAATTACATTTTGAACTACGTTTTACGCATTCCATTTTTGTTTGTTAGCTTTTGTTTATTATTTATTTACTTATCTCCAGTTCGTTTGTCTTTTATTGTTGTCAATGTTATAGAACATTATGACGCATATGTACATTAACAATATTTCTATTTAATCTCTTAATTTACTTGTGTCTTTGTTAAACTATCCCGGTATGTTTTCACAGCAATGTTCAACGAACATCAATTGTGTAGTCACTTTTAACCTATTTTGTAAATTTGATTAGTAAATATTACTGGTTGTGAGTATCTGACGAGAATTTTACGAAACAAAATGAATTTATATCACTGTGCCTAATTCTTTGTTTTAACTCTCTTCAAGATGCGAAACAGAAACTAGGTCTATGAAACTAAATCTGTCAAATATTCCATAAAACAATCAAATTGAACCATTGACTATTTTCAATAGACAATGTTATAAAACAAAATTCATGATTTTTTTTAGTGACTTACATTCAATGATTCAAGTAGATTGACTAATTTTTGATAATCATTTGTAACTGTTGATGTGTTGATGTTGATTTCGATTAATTCCGATAATAAGGATGATGGTAAAAATGATTTGATTAAACGGCGATTATGTTCAGATATAAATAGTCTACGTAATGCACAAAATGCATTTGCCTTGTATACAAATGTGATAAGTGATACAAAAATACAGAACACAACAATGAATACAATATAATCATAAGATTATTATGTAAAGTTAATAAGGTTTTAGTGATTGTTAAATATGAGATACGTTTCAATTAAATGGACAAATATAAATATAAATATATACAACTAACGGCCATAAACTATTACTTCACTTTCGATACCTAGATATGACAACACTCATTTCTTTCAACCTTATTTACTTCAAAAGACAAATCTTACATAAACGACAAATATCGGAGACCACAGAAGACTGATTGTAAAAAAACACATCCATCTATAAACACATGTATAATATGCTTGGAAATAAGGTGGAACAACGAGTAAACTAAAAGACTCCAAAGTTAATAAACAATATCTTCTTCGTGTATGATAGAAACTGAAGATGGTTCTCTTGAAGAGATTTACATTAAAGCAAATTCAAATTTACAAAATATCTCTACAGTTTTACATTGAATAGGAAGTAAAAAAAAATCCCTAAAAAGCAAAAAATATCTTTTTTGTTCTAGTCTAGGATTCTTTAAGTATGAAAACCAAATAATTAATTGTGATACCAAACTAGAAATTTCTTTGTTACTAAACACAATCGCTTTAAATCGATATTTTAAAACCCAATAGTAAAGAATTCTAACTTCGGCATATTCGTTTTATGTACAAAAAATATATTATCGTATAAATGTAATCACTCCGCCAGGCCAAAACATGGCACAAATCCATGAAGTCATTGACATGCGGACTGAATCATGTTGGCAGGTGTGGACTATCTGGTTGGGATCCGCGAGATGATAGCAAACAATGGTTAGAGACCTTGATTGACATGGCTTAAAATCGTTCGCAATCGCGCAGGTGCATCCACTCTTTGTGTTCTCCCAAATTCTAATCTTCTGAATTCTTCATGTCCCTTATTTTTTCTCTTTCCAAATTTATTTCACTGGATTATACTCCTTGAATAACATCTTCAAACCCTAATGTTTTCGATTACTGATTATACTTTTACTACCTCTACCACTATAGGATTTGAATCGACAATTATATCTGTGTGCTAATGTGATATGGAAACTCGAACTGATGTACGTACGTACGTACGAAGTTCTACGTTGTCAATGATTGACTGACTAGTTGAATTTTCTACACAAAGCCATTGTAAGATAAAGAATAATTTGATGTTTAAAATTGAAAATAAATAACTTACGTATAAATGACGAATATTTCCTAATCCAAATTTATTTGTATCAATTATCTGTTGATTTTCAACATTATTAGTTTGTTTCAATTCTGACTCAATTATTAAACATTGGTTTTTAACATTTTCTGAATACTTAATTAATAATTGTGAACCAATCAAATGTATACCATTTTCACGTGCAATAATTTGAGCATAAAAATCATTCATTGCCAATTGAGACAATATTCCACATATAGCTTTATGAAGAAGAAGAAGAAGAAGAAGAAGAAGAAGAAGAAGAAGAAGTAAAATATATAACCGAAAATCAAGTATTATTTATTGTTAAGCTAACAATAGACGTGGAAACTTTCTATATAATATTTATATTATATATTCTCAGAAATTGGTCATAATTTGCATTTAACATGAACGTTGTTTAGTAATTCTTGTTTAAGTAAGATCTAATATGAGTTTGTTCACCAACTATTCGAAACAAACAATCTATTGACTGTATTCAATCGCATAGCAATACGTCAAATAGTACCAAGATGTATTTATTTACCATCAAAGAAAATTTTCTCTTCGTAAATATAGTTATCTGGAAAATATATGTCTATAAAAGGATAGAAAAAATTGCATCACAAAAAATGGATTCGAGAATAAATAACATATGAGGTTTATGGGTCAGTTAATAGTCCAATTTTTTAATAAACGGAATACACCCATTAAGACATCAAATAAGAAAGATTAGTTCAGCGAAGTGTTCTCTTTTCGGCGAATTTATTTTCAAAGCTGTACAATCGCAAATATATATACTTATTTTTACAGGATGATAATAATACTGATAATAAACTTGTTATACATGGTGACAGTGAAGTTAAATAAACAAAGGTATTAAAATAAAAATTTTAAAAACAAGGAAAGTTTAATAATCGTTTGATAGTTAATGGCTTAAATATTCATCAGGTATGGATGGCTCAGCATGATAAAATAAAATGTTGAAACAGAGATGAAATGTAATCGGAATGATCGTGGAAATAAAAACAAACCAGTTGAGGGTAGAAGATTTAAAGGGAAGACGGGAGGTGAAGCAAATGGCTGTAAAGGAACAAGAGTATGAAAAAGAGAAAAAACTTAATGCATTAAGACCATGGTAGAAGAAGAGGTTGTAACAGTCTCTTTTGAACACACAATTCTGGTTTTTCCAGGTGTATGGCTATTGCTTCGGCGATGCAGAGAAGATGAAGTCTAATTGTCTTAGGAAGACTTCTACTTACCTTGTAGATGACTTTGAATGCAGAATCTGTCTTTATTGAATGACCTGTGGTCACGATCATCCCGATTACATTTCATCTCTGTTTCAACATTTTATTTTATCATGCTGAGCCATCCTTTCCCAATGATAATTTCCCTATCTTTTGATGAACAGTTAAGCCAATAACAATCAAACGATTATTAAACTTTCCTTGTTTTTAAAATTTTTATTTTAATACCTTTGTTTATTTAACTTCACTGTCACCATGTATAACAAGTTTATTATCAGTATTATTATCATCCTGTAAAAATAAGTATATATATTTGCGATTGTACAGCTTTGAAAATAAATTCGCCGAAAAGAGAACACTTCGCTGAACTAATCTTTCTTATTTTATAGTCCAATTGACAGATTCGAAGAAAAACGACAAATTAAAAGTCATGATAATAAACTGAATAATAATCAAGGTAATAATTGTTATTTAGTCTCGAATCCATTTTATGATGCAATCTTATCTAACCTCCTAAAGACATATATTTTCCATACAACTATATATACAAATGTTCAGCTTAAGTAAATGATTCCGTCGAAAGGAAAATTTTCTTCGCTGAATTCTCTTTTTCTTATTCAATGACACTATGGCTTATTTTAATTACCATCAAAGCTAACAATCACAACATTGTCATAATTATAACATGATAAAGAAAAACTTTCTGTATTTATATTTAGTGATTGATTAGAATTAAATAAGATAAAAATATCACAAAATAAACGTCTATGTAGACTGTAGATATTCTTTACTACGAGCGATTCCGAAAAGTTAATCTTACTTTACTTTGAAATAACTAACCCTCGTCAATCTATGAAATTTTGTTTAATTTACTATAAAAGTGGAGAACTCAGATTGTGTTGATTATTTAAAGGAGTACATAATAAAGAAGTTAAATTTCTCTAAATGGGAACTTACATGTATTACGCCGTATGGTATCCTGGTCAAAATCATGTACCTTGAGAACAATCAATAACAGATCAAATAACAAAATTTATTTCAGTATGACATTGCGAAGATTGTTGAGTTTTATTAAAATCACAAACCAATTTAAGTAAGATAAGCATTGATAACCTGGAAGAAGTGAACGACCGTTTTGTTCTAGTATGGGACTCTTCAGTAATACGGATACACGACCATCCAATTGGTAATTGAACCAAGGACCTTTGGTCTCACCCGCAAATGATTGACCTCTTTTATTGGAAAAACTGTACATTTCGACCGAAAGTTTTCTTAAATAACATTATTCGGTAAAGATTCCAAACGTAATACTTATTACAGTAGTCTAGCTTGCTGTAACATTTGTCAAAAGTTCATTTATTCAGTGCATGCTGGAACTTCAGAATAAATATCCGGAATGATATGTTAGAATCATAAGCACCACATAGATATCCTTGAATTATTAAAGCCACTAACAAACTACTAAGTAAATATAGCTTGATGATCAAATTACACAGAAAAAGCAGTGTATTAGTAATTTATTTAGATATTCTATAATTTATTTAAACCAACATTAATTCTGAATCCACTTCTCACTGTAAATCGAAATTAGCAAAAGAATCATCGAAAAACAGTAAATATACGTCAGATGGTTTATCCTACAACGGGATTCTTCAGGAGAGCCTACCTAAAACCCACATAAGATTGAAACCAAAACCCTAAGTTTTCACAGCAAGCATCTCAAACTTAGACAATTGAAAAAGACTTCTTTAGTCTACCCATAGAACGACTATTATCTATTGTCAACACTGATAACTTACTTACGCCTGTTACTCCCAGTGGAGCATAGGCCGCTGACCAGCATTCTCCAACCCACTCTGTCCCACTCTGCCTTCTTTTCTAGTTCCATCCTATTCCTGTTCATTTTTCTCATGTCTATTTCCATTTCTCGGCGTAATGTGTTCTTTGGTCTTCCTCTTCTCCTTTGGCCTTCAGGATTCCATGTGAGGGCTTGTCTTGTGACGCGGTTGGGTGCTTTCCTCAATGTGTGTCCTATCCACTTCCAGCGCTTCTTCCTGATTTCTTCCTACGCTGGGATCTGGTTTGTTCTCTCCCACAGTACGTTGTTGCTAATAATGTCTGGTCAACAAATCCGAAGTATTTTACGTAGACAACTGTTAATAAACACCTGTATCTTCTGGATGACGGCTTTCATAGTTCTCCAAGTTTCCAACCCATACAGTAGAACTGTTTTGACATTTGTATTGAAAATCCTGACCTTGGTTGACAGCTGTTTTGAGTTCCAGATGTTCTTCAGTTGTAGATATGCTGCTCTTGCTTTTCCGATCCGCGCCTTCACGTCTGCATCAGATTCACTGCGTTCATCAATGATGCCGCATGGAGACCATATCATACGAATTCCGTATGATATTGACTATCTTCTGAGGTACGCCGTAGTGTCGAAGAAGCTTCCATAGTGTTGTTCTGTCCACGCTATCAAGTGCCTTTTCGTAGCCAATGAAGTTGATGTAGAGTGATGAATTCCATTCAATCGATTGTTCCACAATGATCCGTAGAGTTGCGATTTGGTCTGTACACGATCAATCCTTAAGGAATCCTGCCTGTTGGTCACGAAGTTGGGCGTCTACGCAGTCCTTCATCCTGTTTAACAATACCCTGCTGAAGACTTTTCCCGGTATTGAGAGAAGAGTGATGCCCCTGTAGTTATCACACTTGCTGAGATCGCCTTTCTTCGGTATTTTGATCAGAAGTCTTTCTTTCTAGTCTTTTGGTACTTGTTCCTCATCCCAAATCTTATTGAAGAGAATGTGGAGTATTCTTGCAGTTGCCGCTACGTCTGCTTTTAGTGCCTCTGCTGGGATGTTGTCTGGTCCTGCTTTGTCACTCTTGATTTGTCTGATGGCCATGCTGATTTCTTCAATTGTTGGTGGGCCAACAACGATTGAGAGGTCCGTGGGTGCTGCTTTGATGTTGGGTGGGTTCAGTAGGGCTGGTCGATTCACGAGTTCTTTGAAGTGTTCTACCCACCTGTTTCATTGTTCTTCAATGTTGGTGATTACCTTGCCCTACTTGCCTTTCACTGGTCGTTCTGGCTTACGGCAATTTCCATAGAGTTTCTTTTGTTATGTCATACATTTCTCTCATGTTTCCTTCTCTTGCAGCCTTTTCCGCCTTCATTGCTAAATCTTCCACATATTTATGTTTGTCAGCCCTGATGCTCCTCTTCACTTGCTTGTTTACTTCTGTGTATTCAGCTTGTGCCTTGGCTTTTTCTGCTTTTGTTCGGCTGCTATTGATTGCTGCTTTCTTGATCCTTCTTTCTTGAATCTTATCCAGTGTATCAACAGTGATCCATTCCTTGTGATGATGCCCCTTGTGGCCCAGAACTTCATGGCATGTTGAAGTGATTGCCTTTTTGATCCCCTTCCAGTTGCCCTCCTTAGTAGTTCCTTCTCCACACTGATAACTATCTCATTCTAAATATCTTTGGCTAAATAGTTAATAAAATTTTAAAAACTGTTTATCTAAATAAAAATTTAATTGTCATTATATCCATGTAAACCAACAAAGGATTGAGAAATAAAAAAACAAAAAAACAATCCATATTCTTTAATATGTATTTATTTGAAATCGGATAATTTATTCATAACTTCCAATTTAAGCTATAAAAGTTAGCTCACCAATTTCGTTTCATAGAGACATTCTTCCGAAGTGTTTACGGTATTTCTCGACGAGTTCATATAGACTGAACAATTAGACAGTTCTCTTATGGTTCTTTCAGGGTGGTTTAAATTGGATTCGAACTGCAAACATTCTCTGAAATTTATTGTAATATTTTTATACCAACTTTATCATGAGTAAATATCATATTTTACCAAAATTTCATTTGGGATATTTTAAGAATTTTCCTAGGGAATTACAGATGAGACTGTTTTACCAAAATAATATAATTGGTAAATTACTAATTGTCATGTGTCTCAACCACAAATACCCTTGAAAAATGAAGTTAAACGCTGACACCGAACAAATGATTAACATATAGATATTATGGGATAAAAAGGCTAGATTATGGTTTTTTAATTCATTGTGATCGTTGCTAAATATTTAGCCGCCTATGCTCCTCCACGAGGGGTAACAGGTATAAGTATGTATTTACTAAATATTACTTCCTTTTTTAAAGCCAGTGTGGTAACTGCTCAGAATAATATTTATTTTATTTTTAGTGTAATAATTAGCTGAGCATAAGATTGGTTTCATTTTTAGTATGACGTTTATTCACGATATAACATTCTTTGTAATAGTACAGTGTGAACAATGTTTAGCATGACATGCAGTATGTGGTTTTGTTATAAATCTAGGCATTTTACATATATATGATGTTTTGTTAATGAACAATCAAGTGGGTCCACAAATCAATATATAACTGAGGGTATTTTCGGCTAGTATCGCCGTGTTTTGAAATTAGTACGTTTTCACGTGTACCACTCTTTGTATTTTTACTTTCCGTTGTCGGAATTGTAATGGTTTCTCTTTTCCAAGTATAAATAATAGGGCGACGGGAATTTTATACACAGTTCATTTTATGTTGTTCAACTTAAACCCAATAATCGAATAAACACCAATGATATTAATGAAATATTTGCATAGGCTTCAGAAAAGTTACAGTTTGAAACGGAAACTACTTTGGTGGTCAGTTCTTAGATTGCTGACTAAATAACCTGAGGATATAAAATAAACATGTGGAGAATCAAAAGTGATTAACTGTTGGTTACGACTAACGATTTAAAATCATGACAGTTCTTCTAAAGGATGAAAATGGCATACTGTAAAAACAAAACACTGTACATTTCCTGCAAAATACGCGGATTATGTAGATCCAGTAATTGAAAATAGCGTAAACTCAAACTGAAAACCGGGCATTATGGTCGATGTTACTGTTGTTATATTCACCTTATTGATTTGAAAACATAAATATTCCACGTCAAATATGACCGATAAGTAGCACTATAAAACGGATCGATAACTTATTAATAGATACAAATCACTCTCAACTACTAGATTCCGGGCATAAATCTTACATTATCTACTATGGTTCTGGTAGCTTACTAAGTATTACTAAACCTCATACAAAAAGGGTTAATTCATAACCGAGTACATGAACTATTTTACCTGATTACTGAGTGGGGGAAGAAAAGTAAATAATTTATGCTTCATTGTCACAATAAACAGTTAATTCCTGTACACATAATATCTCGTATTCATAATTACATAATCACTGACTAGTAACCACTGTGATGTTTTTTTAGTTTTTCATGCTAGTTGATGTCTATCGATCCAATTAAAATGTGACTAATAGCGCGAAGTGAATTGATATAGCCAACACTATGTTGAGGTATTAAGTGATTAGAGGCAGGCTGTAGGAATCTCTCGACGCTCTTAATCGTCAGCGGGAAGTACCTGAAACCACTTAACATCTCAAAAATGTGAATGTAATCTTGATTCAAATAGACTAGTGGATACATTGCAAATTGATTGGTGGGTATTTATCAGTAGTAAATCACCAGATAAATATGACGCTGGTGTTTAGTCAACAGTCGGTCGTTGATAGCGTCTCAGACTGAGGAACCGGACAGCGCGATTTTGAATTACAAAGACTGCAGTTGCACCTCACTGACGAGTATCAGCTAACACGAAACCTAAATCCAAGATTAACTGACAGCTCAATAAAACCACCTTAAACAAATTCTCACGTTTAATATTTGCGTATAAACGGAAGATGCAGCGTATTCACTTTCAACTTTGATTTAAACGTTATCAGATTCAGATTATCACATATATAATGGAAGGTGAATTATAACCCTTGAATGGACTTTTCTATTGAACATTATGGTGCAGATCATCAAAATAAAAGAAACTATGACTTATTCAATGATTAAAAGGTATGAGGAATACATATAAAGTTAGGAAAAGACCTAATTGTCAATTCTACGAACACTATTCAATTAAAATATATTAAGTTAGAACCCGGGACACATTGGTACGGCTAGAATATGAGTTATATATCACGTAATAACGCCTGCTACGTTAATTTGAGGAAAGCAAACTTATTGAGAATCCATGACGTTACTGACTGAAATTTATTTATTCAAATATTTAAACATGAAAATAACCTTTGCGTGGTTACCGTAGATAATTAATTAAAATCGATTTAATTGGCAAGTATGTAATTACTGCTTCTCTTGCTTTAAACATCGAACTTTCATTCATTCTTTGTGTATATTTTATTAATTTTGATACAATTTATCCTCTAATTATTTTACAACTCTGTGATACAGTAACCTAGTTTATCAAAGTGAGAGAATGTACATTGATGTTCTACCAATCTGGAATCTTGTACATATAATGATAAGAAATGAAATACTGTTTCTTTGTATAAAGCTATAATCTACCTTAAATAATTCAATAAAATTGGTATTCCGTTATGATTACGAAGAATTCGTTGACATTTTGATAGTTTTGTTAATTTTTCTAAACATAATATAATGTATGTTGAAAGAGAAGTTAAATTTTCAATAATTCCATTCATTTCAATTGGTTGAACGAATGCAAAATAATCAATTATTTTGAGAATTTTCAAAAGGTTCTCTTCATCAATTTTAGTTCTTTCTAGCGGTTTCTGTTATTATATAAAAAGCACGCGATAAAAAAATGATTTAAAATCAATTAAAAACAGAGCTGTATCAAAACGATACAAAATAGGATAGGTATAATAAGATACGGAGGATCCACCTAGGGGAGTTGGAAAACCTTGATTCCAAACCAATGATGTACAAATGGCGTATGAACCAATTGTTGGTCATCGGTTAACACGGGACTGCATCTCCTTACGTTTCTCCACTGCCTTGTGGATTAGACATTTAGGTCAAAGGCTCGAGGTGTGGTCCCCTAAGAAAACCATCTGCTTCGGTTTGGGCACCCGGGCAGTATCCCAGCCCTCACATAAATCGAATGATTTATGTGGCACATATCTATTTGGTGCCTTCTTGTGCCAATGTTTATGTGTTTAAGTAAGTAGTATTAGTAGTAGTAAGCAAACATTTTAAAAACTAGTGTACTTTTATTTACTAGAATTTTATCTTAGTAATTAATAATAAATAATCATTAAACAATATGATCAGTAAGAATTCAAATAGCATATATGAACGATACAGTTATTTTAAAAAAATACTGATAAACTATTTCAGTAATCTTATCAGAATTTTTAGGAAACTTTTAAGGTATCGATTATCAATAACTGACATCAATTGTAGGTATCATTACAAATCGTAAAGAAATAGTCAAAAGTTTCGTTTATATTTGAAACCCATTTTTTTATTATTAATGGCACTATTCAATATTATATTTTTGATGCAATATAGAATTCTCAGAACAAGGTATTTCAACAAGTTTCCTTTTCACATATCTTGGTCGATACTGATGATAAATAATGAGTGATCGCCAGTTAGAAGTTAGCATTTCGAGAATAAACATCTGAATTATGTTCATTCTATTTAATGTATATATCCAGCCACCATGATGTCTCTGACTATACTTTGTCGTAACTTGTACAGAGAAAAATTGTAAACTTTTCGTAGGTTATGCAATTAATAGACATAATGATGTGTTAAAACAAACAAAAACAGATAACTTGTTGAAACATCTAAATGGCAGGAACAGTCAGACCAGATATTCAAGCAGGCCGCCAAGAAATAGTGAAAAAATACTACACAACGAACTGATATGAAAACCTACAAATTATACAAAGCCTAAATAAAATCGTCTAAATAAATAATAATCATATGCTTACTATAGGTCAACTTAAAAATGAATATGTGAAGATAAATTTCTGGAATGTCTAGATTAAAATTGGTATAGATAGAATTAGTTACTAAATTAATGCAGTAACTCACCTATGAAATTGAGTAAGGATCACAATATCTTTGATTGACTGAGATCAATACGTATAGATCACTTAGCAGTATAACGGTAGTGTGCTAATCACACTTCCTAAAGATACTTGGATTCCGTGTAAGATTAGGAATACCGAAAGCTTGGGAATTAAAAATAAATGTCTAATACTTCTTATTTTCCGTTGATTTATCAAATGATACCAGTATATAATAAAGACGATTATGTTAATCAGTTACGAACGAGGACTGACCACAAGCTAAGAAGCTCATTCGCTTCAATGATACAGAATATATTTCACATAAAACTGATAGATTATCTTTTCAGAGGTTAATATTATCATCATTTGTTTAAGGGATAAAAATGTAGAAGATTATCTCATGTGAATACGCAGAATCTGACTCACAGAAAGTTTAAATTGCTTTCAATTTTACTTAACATTTTTAACGGTAAACCAAAACGGTTCAATAACAATACTCACCAAGGATTCATGTTCACTTGAAATCAATGATAAAAGTTTCGGTATTAGCAATGGCTTTGTTGACAAACGTTTCGAGTAATCATCGTCTTCGGTCAATACACGAAGTAAAAATAATTTTAACCTTGATGAAATTTAAAACAATCATCACTGTGATAAAAAGTTAATTGGAAGTATAAAATTCTTAATAGAAGTGGTGTTAAAGTAGAAAAAGGAACAGAATTAAAAACGTAATTTCAGCTGGCTTCTGAAAGAATATTCATCTTTATTGGAATTTGTTATGATAGTGATTTGAATCAATCCGTAAGTTTATTTGGTAAAAGGAATCTAAAAGCGAACATCATGTCGTCTCAAAAACCCATATATAAGTAATAAAACAATGATTTTTAAAAGCATATACTTTCTAAAACAATAATACCGGTTGAATTTTCATGAGGTTTAAAGTAAAATCTTAAGGAGTCGGAACCATGTAGACTTATGAATAATAGTGTTTAACCGTCTTCACAATAATGTTCGCTCGTTCATACCTAATAATTCCTGAGTATCTTTATGTTAAATATTTGAAATTTGTTAGTATGAACTTACTGTATAACTAGATGTCACGACTATTGAGTGTATTTTTAATAATTAGGAATTTCGCACTATCTAGAAAATCAGGAGTCACTTCACCTTCAGCCGTACTGATATATATATTCAGCAACCACTCATGCCCTAAACCGATCAAGTAAACCGCCTACTGTTCACTTGAGCAGTAATCTATGTAGTGAATACAATAATTTAGCAAAACATTTGGGGATATTCTTTCGCATCAAAGATAGAAACAAAATGTACCACCTCGACGTGAAACGGCTAACTTAACCACAGGACTGAGCTGTGCTATTTAGATTGTAGTACAAAATCTTAGGTGGTGTCTGTCTCTCCTGAAAACAAATCTAAAATTACCCTACATCAGGGTATATTTATAAACTTTGAATATTTACGAGATAGGATTTACTGACGAATATATTTAAAATAGTCCTTAGGACATGGACGTGGACATGGCTCACCATTAAAAGACTGTACTGCACACAAGAATAAGATTTTTTCAGTAATCAATCCACTATGTTGATTGGTAATTATAACCTCATTTCTAAGTAATCTACACAATATTTTCAGCAGTTGAGATCACTAGTCAACTAAAGCTAGACCACCATGGAAAACCTGGAAGCACTGGACGGTCGTTTCGTCCTATTGTGGGACTTTTCAGCAGTGCGCATCCACGATCCTTCCCCTCCCCTCGCGAGATTCGAACCCAGGACCTATCATTCTCGCTCGCGAGCGCTTAACCACTAGACCAACGGTGTTAATGTCTAACTTCAACTAATCCACGAAATTGGGCGACATATCCACCATTGTCATCAGTGAGTTACTATCTCACAACAGACCTGGTCGAACTCCACTAGTCACTGCTCGTCACTAGAACATCAGGATCTACTCATTGAAGCCAGTCACTGGTGAACATATGTTGATTTGTGGATATTGTAGTAATTTCAGTAGTTGAAATCATGAGTCAATTGAAGCTAGACCACCATAGAAAACATGGAAGCAATATTTTTATTTACTGACAAAAACAAATTGTGAAACCATCAATGTTAAACCACTATCGAAAACCTAGAAGAACTGGATGGCCATTTTTTCCTAGAATGGGACTCCTCAGCAGTGTGCATCCTCGATAGAATGACGGTCTAACACTGGTCGGTTCATGATTTCAATGAAACCCAACAATTTCTTAACCTTGTAACTTAAAATAATCAATTAAACCGTATATTATAAACAACCGCAGTACAATATACTACATAAAATACGAACATCACTGTGAATACAATCAACTAGATTTTCCTGTATCAGGATCCTAGAGAATATAAAATTTTCACTAATGATTCGTAAAGAAATATTACACAATTGTCAAACTGTATACCAACCAAACGACTTGAATAAAACATTTTCGGCGGTGTAGCTACTGAAATATATTTTAAGTAGTACTGTTCGTTTCGGAAATGAAATAATCCTAAAAGGGGCAAAAATCGTCTATATTAAAGATGATCTTGCAAGAAACCAGTGGTAAATGGGACGGCATTATGTGATCGAATCAAACCGAATCTCAATGAAAATTCACTTCTTTCCAAAATATACATCACTATACGTACTCACTTACTAACGTCTGTTACCCCTCATGGAGGAACATAGGTCGCTCACCAGCATTCTCCACCCAACTCTGTACTGGGCAATCCTTTCCAGCTCCTATTCATCTTTCTCATGTCTGCTTACAATTCGCGACGTAGTGTGTTCTTTGGCTTCCTCATTTCCGTTTCCCTTCAAGATTTCAATTTAGTGCTTGCCTTGTGATGCAGTTTGATGATTTCCGTAATGTGTGTCCTATCCACTTCCAACGTCTTTTCCTAGTTTCCTCTTAAGTTGGAAGCTGGTTTCTTCTTTCCCATAGTACACTGCTGCTGATGGTGTCCGTCCAACAAATACTGAGTATCTTTTGTACACAATCTTTTAAAAATACTTGTACGTTTTTGATGATGGATGTGGTAATTCTCGAAGTTTTAGCTCCGTATAGTAGAACAGTCTTGACGTTCGTATTGAAGATTGTGATTTTGATGTTGACTTGCTTACAGTTGTTTTGAGTTCCATATATTATTCAATTGTAGGAATGTTGTCCTTACTTTGCCAATACTTACCTATACTTCTACATCGGATCCTCCTTGTTCATCGATGATGCTTCCCAGATAATTGAAACTTTCCACTCCTTCCAGAGTTTCTCTATCGAGTGAGATTAGTTTGCTGTTCTATGTGTTGAATTCGAGGATCTCGCATTTTCCCTTGTGTTTGTTGAGGACTGCTGCTGCAGAGGTTGCTGCTACACTAGTTATCTTCACTGTATTTGTTGGTGTGTGTGGGATAGAAGGACCAAGTCATTTGTGAAGTCCAAATCGTCTAGTTGCATCTAACCTGTCCATTTTATCCCGTCTTTCCTGTCAGATTTTAAAGTCTCCATAATCCAGTCAACCACCCTAAGAAGAAAGAAAAACGGAGTGAGTACGTAGCCTTTTCTGACTCCGTTTCTCACTTGAAATACGTCTGTCAGCTGTCCTTCATGCATGACTTTGCACTGTAGTCCGTCGTATAAATTCCGGATCATTTTGACGATTTTCTCACCGCAGTGTCGAAGAACTTTCCATAAAGTCTTCCTATCCACACTGTCGAATGCTTTCTCATAGTCAATGAAGTTGATGTAAAGTGACGAGTTCCATCCAACTGATTGTTTTGACGATGATCGGTAGTATGGCGATTCGAACTGTGCATGACCGACCCTTATGGAATCAAGCTTATTGATCTCAAAGATGAACTTCTACTGAATCTTTCAGCCGGTACAGCAACACTCTATTAAAAACCTTTTCTGGTACCGATAGTTGTGTGATGCCCCTGTAGATGAGTTCTCACATTCGCTCAGATTTCTTTACATTGGTATCTTCATGAGATATCATTCTTTCCAGTCTGTGAGTAGTACTTGCTCCTCCTCCAAAATCTTCCTGAATAGAACGTAGAGCGTCTTTGCACTTGCTTCTATGTCTGAATTTAGTGCTTCAGCAGATATATTGCCAGGTCTTTCTGATTTCCCACTCTTCATTTGAATCTCAGTGATTGTTATGATTTCCTTGTTCTTGACTTGTCTCTCTGGTTTACAATATTTTCCTGCCAGTTTCTTCGTCGTTTCATATAGTTGTTTTATATTTCCTTCTCTTGCAGCGTTTTTCGCTGTCGTTGCTAGCTCCTTCACGTATTTCTTCTTGTCAACCCTAATGCTCTTCTTCACTCGCTCGTTCGCTCCTGTATATTTAGCGTGTACCTTGACTTTCTCTGTTCTTGTTGGCTATTCTTAATTACTGTTTTCTTTCTTTCTTGAATCTTGTCTAGGGTTTTGATCGAGATCCATTCCTTATTACGATGCTTCTATGACCCCTTTCCAGTTGTCCTCCATAGTAGTTTCTTCTTTCAGTAGATCCTGTGGGGATTGGAACCAGTTTCTGAAAGTTATCTTGAATTCGTTGAGTTTGTCAGCATCTCGAAAGAAAACTGTATTGAACCATTGTAATGCTATTTGTCCAGCTATCCAATACTCCTTTAGCTTCACTTTCACCTTGGTCACAACCAGATGGTGATCTGAAGCCATGTCAGTTCCTCTCCTGGTTCACGCGTCTCCTATTATCCTTGTGAATCTTTTACTGATGCAAATATAATCGATCTAGTTTTCCGTGGCGTGATCCGGTGGGATCCATGTAGCTTTGTGTATGCGTTTGTGTGGGAATATTGTGCCGCCTATAACCAATTTGTTCAATGCACACAGATTTGCAAATCTGTCGCCATTCTCGTTCCTTTATCCTAGTCCATGTCGCCCCATGATATTTTCATACGCGGTGTTGTCGACTCCGACTTTGGCGTTTTGATCTCCCATCAGTATGGTGAGATCCTTTCTTGAGCACTTCATTATGATCGACTGCAGCCTCTCGTAGAACTGATCTTTATCGTTATCATTGCTTTGGTTGGTAGGTGCATAACACTGAAAAACATTCATCATAAATCTCTCATTCTTTGTTTAGAATGATGCTTTGTTGGTCCTGGATTCGTGGAATTCCTATCATATAAGTGCATTTCGTGCTTCTTTGGACAGCATCAGAGTAACGCCCTGAGTGTGTGGAGCATTTTCCTCTTTGTGATCATGTATAGCAGCATCTCTCTCATATTTAGCCTTTGTTGTCCAGCTTAGGTCCAATGGGTTCCGTTGATTCCCAGTACTGCTAATTTGTATCTCCTAACTCCCGTTGCTATTTGACTAGTCATCCCGGTCTCCCAAATTGTCCGGATGTTCCATGTACCTATAAAAATTGTTGCCCTGGTTGTTAGAAGGGGCATTGGCCTCGTGGCTTCCGAAGAATATCGGTTTTCATCATGAGGCGTCATAATTCTTCTTTCAACTCCCAGAGCAGGGTTTAAATGATTTAATTTGTTTGTTCTGGTTAGCGTTTTTTAGCATGGCTGTTTCCTACAGGATGGAGTTGCCTACCCCACGCCCAACTC